ACTCCACATTCCTACATATAAGATAGTGTGACTCAGATTGTTCCCTTCAAGACTAAGAATAGTTGTAACTGGCAAATATCCTTTGTTACTATAGTAACCTCATGAACTAGTAGGCCTACAATATATACATCTAACTATGGGTAGAAAACTGTTTTATAAAATTTGTTGTAAAGCTGCTTTTCTATAAAATTCTAGTAATTGATAATATGTCAATTTAATATATTTTGGTGTAGGTGTACTGATAGCAAGGTCCACACCCACTACAACAAACCTGTGGTTTACAATGAGCTTTTGTCATGTTACTGTCATGAACGGCTGAACCCTGGTCACAAACAAACTGTCTACAAGAAGAGAAAAGAGCACAAGCGGTGGTTATACCCCATATGTTGCTAGCACTGTTGGGTAAAAAAAAAATAATAAAAAGTAGAGCTATTATTGACCAGTGAATTTGTATGTCAAAATGAAATAATGGGAGGTAACTCCTACAATCCTACAAAGAATGTTGGAATGAGTGACAGTAAAAGAATGTATTCAAGACATTTTTGTGGACAGATTGTTATTAGAAAAAGACATGTATTCATTAAATTGCCACTTATTATAATTTATCAGAGATAAAAACAGCATTACCACTCTGGTTATTTATGAATATGATTTGTTTATCAGCTGATTTTACTTAATTCCATATGGACTTTAATATGATGCAGATGCTCCATCTTAAAGAATTTAGATACTGTACCTCACAATTGGATAGACATGGGTTTATCATTTAAACTTTTATATTATACCATTATATCTAAGTAAAAAAAAATTATACATTGTTTTAAAGATATATTTCCATGGCAATTCTGATCCTACATAACCATTAATTAGAAAGTAATCTTTAAATGTAGCTGCCATTATGTAGTACACATGCAAACTGAAGAATGAATTGCACCTCTGTCATTACAACTTCAGTGTATTGATTTCATTGGTAGACCAGATAACAGCACCATATGTTAGTTTCGATGGATTTGGAGCTTAGAAATGAAACACTAGATGATAGTTCATTGCATCAAGACCTCCATTATCATGGACAGCATGAAATATCTACATTTACACAGAATCACATACATTTAATAATACATTACACAGAAAACTCATACATGAACATACATGTATACATTGATAGGATAGAATACATATTCATACAAATAATAGTACATATGAGAAAAATATGTAGGGCAATGTAGAAATAGCAATATTTAGCAAAACAGCGGGAGTAGGAAGATGGAGCTATCCTTAACAGGGAAAAGTAGGGTGAAATTGACAGTTGACAGCCTGATATCATAAAGACAGTGTAAAGGAAGATATAAGGTTTTATTTATTTACATGGGTAAGAAACATCTTTTGTGTTCGGGTGGCACGAAAAACCTAGTACCTGTGTACATGTTGCTGTGCACATAAGAACCCATGGCAGTTGGAATTCTAACGGTGCTGTCAGTGCAAACTTTTCTTCGTAGTACTAGCACACTGTGATGTAGGCCCATCTTCATAAGCTAGGTGGGTACAGAAAAGTTGGACATTAATCCCCATTTCATTATGTTCCTAACATTCAAGACTTTGTTGATTATGTGATCGTTTCAAACAAGAAGTGGCATCTGTAGTAAGCATACCTTGCCTCAAATGCATGGATATAGATTTTAAGAAGTCAAAGGTAGAAGTTTACCTTGGAACAAAGGACCATTAGTCGAGTCACCAGCCCAGTTATTTTATTGAGGAATGAATGATCATAAGGCTGGAATGATCACTTTGTGCAGTTGTGCTGTTAAAGAAAAAGGATTTATATACATTTCAGTGCTTAAGATGGAGAATTTTGGCTTAATTTTCATGCCAGTGATGAACTGTTCAACATCTTTTTCCTTTAACAATTTAAAAATCATTTTATAGCCAGGCTTCTAGTGTGTTCAGTATTATAAGCTTATGTATTTCTTTTGATCAGTTTGCTATAGACGTTTAAAAGTAATATTACTTCACTTTTAAATTTGACTGCCTGTGTATCTAACGAACAGGTGTACAGGTACCAAAGGCTATCTAATCAAAATACCTTTCTATATTTAAAAATGTAGAATTGAGTCATAACTGTGAAGATTCAGGGATGAAATTGGCATTAATTTTGTTCTGTAAATCAACAGATGTAGTAGAAAATTATAATGAGATTTCTAACTCTCCAGGTTACTTAGATTGTATATATAAATTTATATCTGACTTCTGGCAGGATGTTAAAAATAGAGGAATGGTAATTTCTGGATCTGTCTTTAACTTGGAATAAACAGACCATCCTAGACTGGGTTATACCCATCCATAACATTAACCTGCTCCACCAGAACTTGTTACCTGGGGTGATGTGGTTTGTTTAAATGGATTATGTTTGCAAATTAATCGAATGAGTTCGCTATTTTTTTCTTTGTATCATTATTGGTCGACTGTAGGTGAATAATTGGTGAAACCATTTCGCCGCCACACATGGCATGGTTATTAATTACATTGATTATCACTGCAGTTTACATGTACTTCTCATTTGTTTGTGGTGAGCATTCTATAGGAACGATTTTGAGAAGATAATATTTCGATTATAAGTGCAGGTGTACATATAAAGAAACGAAAGCGAGTATATTGTGTTAAAATGTCAGTCAGTGATAAGTTTTACATGAAGATGAAGGATCAATGGTTTTGTCAGTGTACTGATCATATTGTAAGAATGGAATTTATTTAATTCTTTGTTTGCATGGATGTACATGTTATCACCTCATACTTTTGACGAGTAATGTGTTTAGACAAGTGTCAGTTAATTTGATAATTCAGGAAACTCTCCTGTCTGGACAAAATTTCCCTCATACTCATACTATCATAGCACACTACTTTAGCCCAGTTGGTGCCGAAAAATATAATTCAGTATTAATCTTGTCCAATGCAAGTGGGTGTGGCATTTGTCGAAAAATTTGATTTCATACAATTTAAACAAATACTAAAACAGCTTTATTCTTGGGGATCAGGTAATATTAGTATTTTGTAAGTCATTGTAGCTTAAATTAGATTGTCTCGTCATGCCAATATATTCAGTGTCTGGCAGAGTGTCCACGCTTGTTAGGAAATTAAATGAAATGAAATGAAATGGGGATGAATGTCCTACTACACTTGTTTAGGAAATGCATTAATGATTTGCTTTATTCTGATTTTGATCAAATTTGTTGTTTAAATGTATTTGGCTTGTTAATCAGGATTCAGCAAAAGTTTAAATTTGAAAAGAATCTATCAGTAAATGCTTATTCTTGATGTAAAAATAATGTATCAAAATAACTTGGATTATATTAAATCAAAACTAACAGGAGACTCACTTCGCCCAGGGACCCAATTCACCTAGGGTCCAAATTCGATGGCCTAAAACATTCGGGGATCATGTGGCTAAGTGGGAAAGACGCTGGCTCGCTAGCCTGGAGGTCGGGTGTTCGATTCCTGCATTGGCCGAGAAAGTTCATCCAGATTTTCTGGCGTGGTTTCCCCTTGTCAGTGATGCAGGACAGAGGGCCTGACAAGGACAGCTGTCTAGTCATTCGGATGGGACGAAAAACCGAGGTCCCATGTACATATTGGCGTGCACATAAAAGATCCCTTAGAAGTTGGAATTCGATATAAGAGTAGGCCGTAGCGCCGCTGCCCAGGCAAAATTTCCCTCATAGCACAGTGTATGGCATATGCCCGTCTCCATTAGCCCAGTTTAGGAGCAGAACAGTAGGACGTTAAAACCCATTTCATTTCATTTCATTTCCTAAAACATTCACAGGGTCAAGCTGGTTATAAGAGTTCAAATAATTTTATAAATTTAATTGAGATTCTTTAATTATTCTGGATGTCATTACCCTGGATTTCATCTTAAGTGAATTATCACAGTGTATGGCATATGCCCGTCTTCACTAGCCCATTTTAGGAGCAGAACAGTAGGACGTTAAACCCCATTTCATTTTATTTCATTTCCTAAACATTCACAGGGTCATGCTGGTTATAAGAGTTTGAATAATTTTATAAATTTAATTGAGATTCTTTGATTATTCTGGATGTCATTACCCTGGATTTCATCTTAAGTGAATTATCAGTATGTTTTCTTGTTCCATTGTTAGTGATCTATCTGTAAAGAACAATTGTAATCTGTCTATCTGGCAGTGCTTATCTATAAGTATTATACTCACCTATCCTGTGATGTAATACTACTTATACTATGTGCATCATAAATGAACTGAGGATATGAGTAATTAGCTAAATCTTGTTAATTGTTTACATATGATTACTCTTAGAGATAAAGGATTATCATAATAAAGTTGACAGGTCATATCATCACAGAAGTTGGATTTCATTGGTCGTTTAACCACTAAAAGAGGCTACCATGCTGTGTTTGAAGGTTTCATTATTGCAATCTCCATGTGGTAGTAGGTCAAAGTCCCCTCATTGATCAGTTCCTAGTCGTTGAGAATTGTCTGTTACAGACTCTAACTCACTACTTTGATTCTGTCTAGGAGCAGGATAACCTTCCTTTTTCCTGCTGTTAATACAAGCCTGGTATAACATTGAACTCGTACAGAAGTGATACTACCATATTGGTTAGGATAGAGAGATAACTAGAAGTTGTACACTGAACTGTTGAAATGGTAACAAATTATGTGGAATTATTGCATGAAATAATTATGTTTTTAGTTGATTAATAATGGAATGACTTGTTAATGTTAGTAATTATGTATTGTTCATTGTTTAATATACATGTATAGTACGAGTATATTGTTGTAACCTTGTTGAAGTGGAACACATTGCATTCCTCACATATTCTATTGTTCGCTATATAGTGTTATATACTAGTTAATATGGTCATTGAATCTCATTTCCTGCATTATTACTTTTAATATAAAATGTGTGAGTTTTTTCCATTGTGTAGCTAAATCATCTCATTAATGAATTATTTCTTATCTTTTCAGAGTGCTCAGTCCAGACTTTTCTTAAAAGGTGGAAAAATCGTCAATGACGATCAGACTTTTTACGCAGACGTCTACATTGAAGATGGCATCATCAAGTAAGTTATTCAGTGTACATCTAATTTGTGTCAGTTACTGCTTGTCTAATAAATTATTTGATAAATATTACCATTAAATATTAGATATGGTATAGATCTTTGGGCACAAAGCCAAATTATGAAAATTATCAATTTGATTTTTTAACAAAACACTTATTTGGTGCATTACATCTATTAATTACATTTTATTCATTCATAATGGCTGTGTGCAATATTCTTACTTCAGTGATTTTAATATTTCTGAATTGTAAATATACAAATATGATGTAGAATAACTTGACATTAGTAAATGTCTTGACTTGATATTTACATTGACTAGTAATGTCTCAATAATATATGACTTAAGCTGAATCAAGAGCAGAACACAAAATATTATTTGTACACATTTTCACACAACAAAACCCCCAAAATCAGTTTGGTTATATGGGACAGTTAGAGGTTGGTTAGAGCAAAGTGACCTTTATTATATACAGACATAGTTTGATTTATGTATATGACATGATGTTTATTACAGGCAACTTGGTCAAAACTTGGTTATACCTGGGGGTGCCAGAACTATCGATGCTAAAGGAAAGCTCATTATTCCAGGTTAGTGCCTTTGGAAAGAGTCTATTTTTTTTCTGCCTGGAAACTGTAATTGACCTTGTTTCAGGTCGCTCTAACATAGTCTACCAGTGCTAACAATTTTGTTGATATTTTGTGAGTCATATAAATTTCAACTTTATAGGATTGGTCTCGGCCATTCAAAAATTTATAAACAAATGTATTTATACACAAGTATATGTTAAATTAGAACACCAGACTTTGACCATCTGGAACATCAAGATCTGTATATATGTTCTAAGTGTTGACACTTGTAATTTTATGTAGACACTGGCATTTGTCATGTGTGTGTGTGAAATAGCTTTATTTAATGTCCGCTTCCACCGAAGTGATATGTTCTGGAAGAGGCATTATATAGCAAGAGGTCATTGTAATCCCTTGTCTTATTAACAAGGGGCTTCAATGTGTAACTTTTCATAGTTCAGTTCAGTGAGACTATTTATGTAAATCCCTACTTATATCACTTATTATGTCTGTTATATATCACTTCATTGTGGAAGCAGACATTAAAGATAACTATTTCACACATGTTATATCCAAGTATTAACAGGTGTCAATAAAATGTAATGTTTATTTAAACTTTTCGAAGGTAAAATACAGTAACATTTTACTAAATATAAAGATAGATTGTACATTAATTTTGATTGTTTCAGGTGGTATTGACCCCCACACGCACATGCAGCTTCCATTTATGGGAACAACAGCAGCAGATGATTTCTACAGTGGGACCAAGGCGGCCTTAGCAGGTGGAACTACCATGATAAGTAAGTTCGTGATTTTAGATAATTATTCTTATTTTGTTACAACTGACTAGATTCAGGTCGTTTGAACAGTTTTTCCAAAGTTTCCATGAAAAGTATTCGGTTTATTGCTGTTTGTCTTTGAAAAGTGACAGTCCATAGAATGAGTTCAATTTCATTGGTATCTGTGGTCTAAGGGGAGACAACTCTTATACATTATCTCCCTTTATATAGACTGAAAACAATGATTTGTTATATCCTAACATTACAAAGTAAATTAAATGTGTTCTGTTTTCAGTTGACTTTGTAATAGATCAGAAGGGAGTATCTTTGTTAGATGCTTATGAAAAATGGCGAGGATGGGCAGATGCCAAAGTTTGTTGTGATTATGCCTTACATGTTGGTGTTACGTGGTGGAGTGACCAGGTAGCAAAAGAAATGGAAATTCTTTGTAAAGAAAAAGGTAAGTTCAACAAGAGGGCACAAGATATCTGACTGATATTGATATATACTCTTCAAAAAAAGTAGGAGATATTCAGAAACAATACAAAACTACAGAAATGCACTGCTGTTTTTATTAGAGGTAACCAGTGTATGTTAATAACAGACCAATTGCCTACACATGAACATAAACAGTTCATTTGGGCGGCTTATCTGAGAGCCACATTTCACTCACAAAGAGATACACCGTCAAAAGTGAAAATGGACGTTTTTGATTTTTGACTTAATGAGTAATTGCTCCACCAATCCTCAGACATTCAGCATGCTCCTAATCAACCGTCCAATCACGATTTGGGGCAATCTGACCGACTCCTCTTGCAGTGCCACGGCCAATTCTTATCTGTTGACATTGGCGTCGACGAACACGTCTCCAGATCAAATTAAACATAATACACTAAAGCAAAGATACGCTAAACAGTAAAACTTATGCAGGAACCGATAGGAGAGCAAACATGGATAGATAAACCAGCAGTTTTCATCAACCTTTCCTTGAAGTGTCAAATTTGACAATGAACCCCTCCCACATATATGCCGCTATTGCGTGTCGCATGTGCAGCTCAGTGATTCTGTTGCGGCGATAAGTTCTTCATCTGTGAACATACTCTCAAAGCATGTCAAGTGTCCATGACTGTTTATCATATCACAACCTGCATAGGTATTTGCATTTCAATATGCCCTACTTTTTTTGAAGAGTATATTATTATATATTCACATATAGTATATTACATGTATATCAAAGTATTGGATAATGTTGGATGCCAATAAAAAGAAATTAACATTTTTCTTGGAAAATAGAAGAAAGTATTCAATTTGATGAAAGTGAATTCATATATTTTGTCATTTTTACTTTGAGAGTCTTCTCATGGAACAAATTATTTTAATATTCTGATTATTTGTTGCAGGTGTAAACTCGTTTAAAGTATTTATGGCATATAAAGATGTGTTTATGTTACCTGATGATGATATGTATGCTGTATTTAGGAAATGTAATGAATTAGGTGCTGTGCCTATGGTGCATGCAGAAAATGGTCATCTTATTGATATTGTAAGTAAAACAAGTTTTGAATTACTGTATAAGAATAGATATTTAATGGTTCTTTTGAATCTAAATATTTTTGAATCTAGGGTGTGTTAGAGCTGTAAAATATCATTTTTATACGCCCACATTGAAATGTGGTCGTATATTGTCGTCGCCCCCGTCCGTCGGTCCGGCGTCCACAATTGCTTGTGGACGCTCTAGAGGCTAAAGTTAATATCCGATTGACTTTAAATTTATATACAGTGTTTAAAGCCATGAGACGAAGAAGCCTATTGATTTTCAGCGATTTCCGATAGTTACTGCCAGAGTTATGGCCCTTGATCACTTCAAAAAATCTTGTGGACGCTCTAGAGTCTAAAGTTAATATCCGATTGACTTTAAATTTATACACAGTGTTTAAGGTCATGAGACGAAGAAGCCTATTCATTTTCAGCGATTTCCGATAATTACTGCCAGAGTTATGGCCCTTGATCACTTCAAAAAATCTTGTGGACGCTCTAGAGGCAAAAGTTAATATCTGATTGACTTTAAATTTATACACAGTGTTTAAGGTCATGAGACGAAGAATCCTATTGATTTTCAGCGATTTCTGATAATTACTGCCAGAGTTATGGCCCTTGATCACTTCAAAAAATCTTGTGGACGCTCTAGAGTCTAAAGTTAATATCCGATTGACTTTAAATTTATACACAGTGTTTAAGGTCATGAGACGAAGAAGTCTATTCATTTTCACTTCAAAAAACCTTGTGGATGCTCTAGAGGCGAAAGTTAATATCTGATTGACTTTAAATTTATAAACAGTGTTTGAGGTCACGAGGCGAAGAATCCTATTGATCTTCAAAGATTTCTGATAATTACTGCCAAAGTTATGGCCCTTGATCACTTTGAAAAATCTTGTGGACGCTCTAGAGGCCAAAGTTAATATCCGATTGACTTCAGATTGATACACAGAGTTTAAGATATTGAGACGAACAAGTATATTGATTTTCAATGAATTTTTATGACTTGGAACAGCTAAATCCATGATACAGTATTAAAAGTTTTGTATACAAAATGTTAGCATGGGGCAGAACTTTATAAAAACCAAACAAATTCTAATGGTTTTCTGAGTTGTTGCTCTTAATCAGATTTTAGTGTATTATAAATGTTTCATTACCGAAAAAAGTAAAAATATGCGACAACTCTTGTTGACTGCCCAGACGATTTAGCTGCTGTGGGCGTATGTTTCGTTGCCTGGCAACCTATCTTAAAAAAGATTGTTGTTATAATTTAATTTGACTTTTTTTCAGAAATCTAAAGAAATGGTTTCCAAAGGTATAACAGGACCAGAAGCACATGAAATGTGTCGACCAGAAGAGGTATGCATTCATTTGTTGTAATCAGAAATAACTATATTTTGTATTATGTCTTTAATATCTGTACATGGAATGTTTCTAAAATAAAAAAGATTACTTTGGTTTATGTATAGAATTAAATATATTTTAAGTTATTTCATTATTTAAAAACAAGATATAGGTTTTGGAAATGAAGATATTTTTAATAGATAGAACCTGTCTCTATTATTAAAGGTTGAAGCTGAAGCAACACAGAGAGCTATAACTGTAGCTAATCAAGCTAATGCTCCACTGTATGTAGTACATGTTATGAGTAAGAGTGCAGGTGAAGTAGTAGCTAATGAAAGAAGAAAAGGTAATATTTCACTTTATTCTTTTAAAACCGTAGAATACATTTTTTTTAGGAGCTTACCGTCAAAATTTGTGCCTATAAGCTTACTAAAAATGTACACATTAAATAAAATACAGCAAAAATTCCAATCTTATTTCATAGATAGAACTGTTAGCAGATTTAATAGTGGCTCAGTGAGTAAAACTGTTAACATGGAGATCTTCTGTACATATTGGTGTGCACGTGCAAGAACCCTTGACAGTTGGAATTTGAAATTTCACTCATAGCACACTGCATGATGTATGCCCATCTTCATCAGCCCAACCTTTTTTAAGAATGAAAAATGATTTTAATATGGTTTAATAACTTAATTGTGTAGGTAAAGTTGTTTTTGGTGAAGCACTGGCTGCTGGTTTAGGTACTGATGGAACTCATTACTGGAATAAATGTTGGAGACATGCTGCAGGTCATGTGATGGGACCACCTCTTCGTCCTGACCCTAGCACTCCTGGTTACCTCATGGATCTCTTAGCAAAGTAAGTAAACCTATATGATACTATTTTGGAAAAATATTTTTTTAAAAAAGAATTATTTTCTGAATTAACGTGTATTTTTGAAATTGTTGTTGAGAGTTGACTAATTTGTGGTTTTATAATTGGCCATAATAATATACAATATTTGATTTTATAAGATAAATTAATGTAATTATATAGATATATAAAGCTCAATTTTTAAATTAATATAATATTATTTGTTATTTTTAGTAATGATCTGTCTGTATCTGCTACTGATAATTGTACATTTAATGCTGATCAGAAAGCTATTGGTAAAGATGATTTTAGAAATATACCTAATGGAGTTAATGGTGTAGAAGATAGAATGTCTATTATTTGGGAAAAAGGAGTTGTAAGTTTCTCAGATTCTGACATTTATTTATACTTTTCAGTTAAAAATATTTTCCATCTTATCTGTAAATCTAATTGGCAGTATTGGGGAAATAATATATAAATTAATTTATTTGGACAATCCACAGAAAAATTAGATCAGTTAAAATAATGTTAAAGTTAATTATTTACCCGAAAGTATATTAATTTTTCGAATACCAGACATATTATTTTTTCACTTATCCATGTTTTTTTGCTTTCCAGAGATCTGGTAAAATGGACCCATGTAGATTTGTAGCTGTAACTAGTACTAATGCTGCTAAAATATTTAATCTCTATCCTAAAAAGGTTAGTAAATTGGTGTGTTCAAGAGAAATTGGGCTAATATTGATATTTAAAAATTCCTGCCAAAAAGCAGTAGAAAAACATTTAAAATTTGCCCCCAGGTTATTTTAGAACTTTCTAGAAATTCTGATTCCACTTTTGTAGAATTTGTGGAAAAATGTTTGTACAAATATGATATCATTCAATACATATGAACATTTCTAGAACACCTGATAACAAATTTACATAGAGAACAAGTTATGTTGAACTCTTGTATTTCTATCAATATTGAAATTTATATTTCTATCAATATTGGAATTTGTATTTATATCAATACTGAAATTTGTATCTATATCAATACTTAAATTTGTATTATATTACAGGGTCGTGTAGCAGTAGGTTCGGATGCTGATATTGTTATCTGGGATCCTAATGAGAAGAGAACTATTTCAGCTAAAACACATCACCAAGCTGTAGATTTTAATATATTTGAGGGTATGACCGTACATGGTGTACCTTTGTATGTTATAACAAATGGACAAGTTGTCTTAGATGAAGGACAGGTAAGAATATATTTATAAATAATATTCTGCATTAAACAGCTTTCATTCAATATAGAATTGAATCACCATAGTTCCTACTGAATTGAAATCTGGTTCTTAATTCCTCACAATAAGGTATAATTTGCAGGATACATGTTCAAATTTTAACTCATACCAAGCAAGGCAACTTTCAGGGGTTCAATGAAATGATAGGAAATGAGGTTTAACGTCCTACTGTTCAGCTCCATCTGGACTAATGAAGACGAACATACGTAATGCAGTGTGCTATGAGAGAAATTTTGTCTGAACCACATCGCTATGGCCTACTCTAATTTCAAATTCCAACTGTCAAGGGTCTTTTTATGTGTGTGGTTTCCCCTTGTCAGTGATGCAGGATGGAGGGCCTGACAAGGACAGCTGTCTAGTCATTCGGATGATATGAAAAACCGAGGTCCCGTGTACACATTGGCGTGCCCGTAAAAGATCCCTTGGCAGTTGGAATTCGATATAAGAGTAGGCTGTAGCGCCGCTGCCCGGGCAAAATTTCCCTTATTAGGTCATAGCACACTGTACGGCGTATGCCGGTCTTCATTAGCCCAGGTTAGGAGCTGAACAGTAGGACGTTAAACCCCATTTCATTTCATTTCCTTTTATGTGCACGCCAGTGTGTCCTTGGGATCTCAATTTATTTTGTGCTATCCAAACAACTAGACACTGTTTCTTGCCAGACCCTTCGTCCTGCACCAATGACAAGTGAAATCCATGCAACAAAATCATCGAACCTGGAATCTGCAGGTTAGGGAGTCAGCACTGTACTTACTGAATTCCCATGGCTCTCTTAATGATTGCATCAAATTGATTGTGTTGTGGTATATTAAATTTAAATAAATTTATATTTTTTATCTGTTATATGTACCTGTTTATTTTGATTACAGTTAAAGGTGACCCAGGGATTAGGAAGATTTATTGAAACACCTTGTAATCCAGAATATGTTTATGGTAAAATACGAACCAGGGAACAAGTAAGTTGTTAATTGTTTCAATAAAACAGTAATATAGCATTTAAGTATACTAGTTATATCCTTTCTCAGAGAATATACTAAATAGAAAAGCTATTGTCATCGAACAGAAAATACAGATTGTTGATGCTTCTCTGTTGTTAACTTAAAAACCAACTTTTTCAAAAACCGGCAAATATATATTTTAAGAAAAAAACATAAAATAAAGGAGTGGTCTTCATAAAATTAATTTTCAATTAATTCATTTTTAACCACAAACATCAATGCCAATTTGGTAACAACAATGTGTTAATTGTCTTAAGTTAGTATCTACAAAACATTTTTCAGTCATCATTTTTGTAATATTTTTAATAAGAAAACTGTCTATTGGCCTTCTAGAGTATTGCTGCTATAATATTAAAATATTTTGATTGTTTTAGATGTGTCAGCCACAAAGAGTAGAGAGAGAAGATTATACTGGACCTGTTATAGAAGTAATGCACGAAGTTTTAGCTAATAAAGTACAATCAGCTAATCCTATTACACCTAAATCACCTGAATCTTTCCATAATAGAAGTAAAGTAGATGGAGTACGCAATATGCAAGAATCTAGCTTTCAGTTAAGTGGTATGTATGACTGTATTTTCTATTAATAATATTAATTGTATTAATTTAAATGAGAGGTTTTGTTGGAAACAAACATTATCTAATGATATGTCTACTTGTTCAATATGTGTCTTACTTTGATGGTTTCTACTGTTTCAATGCTGTCACATACATTGAATGTCAGTACCTGGTTGTTGTTGATTTGGTTTATGTGTTAAATGTTGTGTGCATATGTGGCCTGGAAATAGGGACACTTTCTCACAAAAGACACGGGTGTAAAATATACTAAAGACAACTTGTCTGCAATACCAGCTTCGATGGAAGCGGATGTTAAACCCTACGAACAACAACAACCCAAGTCCATTAGCTTCTAAATGATTTCAATGTGATATACCCTGTGCCTGGACAATTAGTTAACTCGTGATAATTGTACTTCAGTTCCAGAAATCATTTGTGAAATATGTCAAGTCACTAAATTCAGAAGTGTATCTTGGCAGGAGGGTAGGGTGGCCAAATAGCCTAAGGCTTGCACTTTACATCATGAGGTCTGTCATTGAGTAAAGTGGCATGGTTTCGATTCCCCACTTGTACATGACAAGGAGTCCAACCTCACAGGTTTTCTCCCTGTCCTCCGGTTTCAACACATAGTTTGTATCAAGTGGACCTTAAACCCCATTTCTCTGTCTTTCTCTCTTTTAAGTTGACATTGTTCTAGCTGTTTTAAATGTTATCAGTCTAATAATTTTTTGTTTGTTTTTATAGGTGCTCAGATTGATGATGATAAACCAAGACGAGGACATACTCGGGTAGCTAACCCACCTGGAGGTAGATCAACTGGTTTATGGTAATTTTTGGTGTGCAATCATAGTGAAGGCATCTGTTTCATTTATCAACCATGAAGAAGAAAAGTGCTGAATTAATAAATCATGGTTTAATGGGTTGATGGCTGATTAAATCATGGATGTTTTTAGAAAGATAGCCATTTTTTACATGCACTCAAAAATTTTAAATTTGTTTTATCTGCCCATTTTATCTACCAAATAGAGTCTTATACTTCTCAGTGCTATTATGTCAATATTATATTAAAATTATATACTATGGTTTTAATTAACGCATTTTAAATATTGTGTCCGACATTATATGTCAAGTTCTAAATATCGCTTTAACAAATATGCTCTTTGTCATCAGTATGGTAATAATCTATAATAGAGGATGATCCATGTAAACAGCGTCCATGTTTTTGTGTACTTGTATCATTCCTAAATTGAAAGATTTCAAGAGTGTTTAAAATGTACCAAAGGCTTTCGTGTGTCCCATCATTCATGTAGTTGTTGAACTAGGGCATGTGTGTTTCATCACAACTAAATCTAATTCGCAATTTCTTTCGATTTATGCACTGCTTGTTTATCTTGTGAAAGGTCAACAGATAAAATGGACAAAGATATGTATATCAAGTTTATGTCAATTGTGATTCATTATTCATTTAGTGCATTAAAATAATTAATACATACATCCCCCCCTCTTCATTTGTATACATTGTAGGCAAATAAGGCCTTAATTATCAATATAATGTTAATTTATTTAACGTAACTTTAGTGATTATTAGATGGTATACGGTGTGTAGACTATAGTTAAAGAACTTTTTGTTTAAAGTTGTATTAATACATAATATAATTATAGACGTTGAGTATAAGCTTTAGACGATTTCTAGGTTTTTTTTACGTAGACATAATTTTAACATCTCTCAGATTGTACATTTGTTTATGTTTTAAAACAATTTAATGTTTTTATTGAAATGTTATTTTTTACTTTTAGATTATGCATTAGTAATTATCTTTGTTTATTCTCTTTTATAGATGTCTATCTCTTTGCATTTTACCAAATTATATTGAGATGCCTTAATATGAATGATTTCTATAGATTGATTTCAAAGATATTCAATGAATATTTTAATTTAAATCCATTTTGTTCTCTTATGGCATAGCTAAGAATTTTCAGAATTAAATCAGAATTTATTTTAAATGTTTGTTTTGATGCTATTGCTGGTAAGTGTCTGAAGTCAATAAAAGCATTTGTCTCATGTTTAAATTTATTTCCGTTTGTTTCAAATATCATCCCTTTTAAAGAGATAGCAATGATGGGACAAGAGCTATTTCAAAATCCAAGATCTCTATTTCATTATGGTTTTTGTAGAGCTGACAGGGAAAGCTATCTAGCAATTTGGATGTTACCAAGGTCCTACTAGGTATACTTTTCATCATTCGAGCATTCACAAGATGTGTGTATATGTATATGTATATATATATATATACACACACATATCTTGTGAATGCTCGAATGATGAAAAGTATCATCCGATCTGTATGCTTCAATTTAATTATTGAAACGAAGAATCCTATTGAATTTCAGCAATTTCTAAAAATTCTCATATCTGTATGAAATTTATATGCATTATGTAAATTAGTAAAACGAAAAATGCTGTTGAATTTCAACAATTTTTGTATATTACTTCCAGAGTTTAGGTCCTTGTTTCAGTTTGTAACACCTTGTGAATGCTGAAAGGACGAAAATCATAATCTAATCTGTATGAAATTCTGTTGTAAATACCCCCATTACCTACAAAAGATTTAATTTGCGACACCCTTGTTGACCATTTTCAGTCTTGATTGCTTTGTAATATGTCTCTGCTTCAACTACAACAAATAATCACTAAGCTGAAAGTTGATGAGGTGCAGTATATTGCTGTTTTGATTACGAAATGGGGTTTAACATCCTACTGTTCTGCCCCATCTGGACTAATGAAGACAGGCATATGTCATACCACAATGTGCTGATGGAAATTTTGCCCAGACTCAAATTCCAACTGCCAAGGGATCTTTTAAGTGCACGCCAATGAGTACACAGGACCTTATTTTTTCGTCCCTCCCAATGACTAGACATCCTTCCTTGTCAGGCCGTTCACTGTCCAGGGGAAACCACGCCAGAAAATCCTTATGAACCTTTTGATAATCACCGGAAGCTGTTATAAATAATATTATTTATTATTTATAATAAATATCTATATACAATTAACAAAAACAATTTATTGTAATTTAAAAATATAATAGCTATTACATTTAACACACATGATTGTAGAAATGCTGTAAATTGATAGTCGACTTTAGCAAAGAATCTACAATTATTAGCTACAGCACCATTAAACATTATGATAGTTATTTAAGACAATGAAAAAAAAAAGATTCTTAAATTCAATAAAAGGCAAAGGTGTCATTTTAGATACTTAAGTAATAAAGATAATCAAAGTATAAAATGCGTCCACAGCAGCTAATTTGTTCAGACAAAAGAAAACCCTATGTATAAATTTTGAGTCCATCAAATGATAACCTAAGCATGTAAAATGTCTCAAGAAATTGTGGACTACGGACAGACAGGGGCTACGATAATATGAAAGTGTTCTGTTCTCCTGGGTAATAGGGAAGAATATAGGGTGTGGATAAATCAAGGTGTTAAGACTATATTTGATCATCAAGTCTCCTACTGACCTAGAGGGAAACCAAGGTTTGAACCTTAAAATAATCTTCCAAAATTATATTATGGTAATCATGACAGTTCATTGTAGATATTAAACGAAACTAGAGGGTTCACACAAGATTTTTAAAAGTGATCAAGGGTAATAATGCTGAAAGTAATTCTAGACTTCTTCACTTTATAAACATAAACAATGTGTGTTTAAAGGCACTTGAGAAATATATTTATAATCTTGAACATCTGCAAGATTCCTCAAGGGCAATAACTCTGGCACTAGAAATCATTGAAAATCAACATGCACCTTGTGTACATAAATACTGTGCATAAATCTCAAGTCAATCGGATAATAACTTTAGCATCTAGAATGTCCAGAAGATTTTTCAGAGTGATTAAAGGCCATAACTTAGACGGTAATTATCAATAGGCTTCTTCATCTCATCACCATAAACTGAGGAAGGAGGACAGACGGGGGCAACAACAATATAAGACCACATTTTAATGTGGGTGTATAAAAAAATGACAGCACTGAATATATGTCCAGCTTGGCTAAATGAGACACACTGAAGACCCCTTACTTACTGATTTTGAGTTTCCATCATAATTACCAACATAAGGTACAATTTTATGGACACACAATTACTGAGTTTAATACTAAGCGACGTTTCAACGAGGATACTCTAGTCTTTATCAAGCAAATGATACAGAATATATACAGAATATGCAACAAAAATAACAATCAAATACAATTAAAACTTAACACCATTGATTAGAGGGTCATTTACAACTAAACCTACACAGCGGAAACCCCCCACAGCCCAAAGAATGTAGGTGAAACGAAGCGTCCACTTGATGTACGAATAAAAGAGCACAAGTCACTAGCTTCCACCAATCCCTGAGCCGTAGCAGAGCATATTATTATCATACAATCTTATGTGACCAAACAAGAACCCTTGCAGTAAATCATCACCAGAAGAAAACCAGGAAACTTCTTGAGGCAATCAATATAAAACGCATCAAGCCCAAGTTAAAACGTGATGTGGGACTCTTTATACCAAGGGCTTATGACCAGCTTATACATTGATTCCAATACTTTTGTTCTATTTTAGTGCTTAACCAGTTTTTACAGTCAAATTTTTACATATCTTGATTTTCAGTACTTATCCAGTCTGATAATACATTTCACATTTATTGACTTTCAGTTTAATGAATTAATATATTTACGGTTTCCCTGGTCCAGGTTTATAGTCTAATAACAGGTTTCATCTTTCATGATTTTCAGCTTATTGAATTAATACATTTCAGTGCTTATCCAGTTTTACAGTCTAATTATGCATTTTACATATCTTGGTTTTCAGTACTTATCCAGTTTTACAGTCTGGTAATATATTTTACATGTCTTGATTTTCAATTTATTAAATTAATATATTTACGGTTCTCTTCGTCCAGTTTTATAGTCTAAAAATAGGTTTTATATCTTTCATGATTTTCTGTTTATTGAATATATTTGTTTTATTTCCCTTGCATGAGCAATCACTCTTGTTCACTCATACCCCCATACATAGACACTTCTCTTTAAATTATTGTTTATCTAGAGCTAAGGTTAATTGGTTTTCCATTAATAGTGTTAATGTTAATACATTGATCTTTATAAATAATAGCATCCCCCATCCCCCTTTAATCCCTGTAAAGAGTTTCCGCTGTGTAGGTTTAGTTGTAAATGGCCCCCTAATCAAAGGTGTTAAGTTTTAATTGTATTTGATTGTTATTTTTGTTGCATATTCTGTATATATTTGCCTACTATTCACATACCTGTATCATTTGCTTGATAAAGACAAGAGTATCTTCGTCGAAACGACACTTAGTATTAAACTCAGTAATTGTGTATCCATAAAATTGTACCTTGTGTTAATATGTTCAATTACTAAATGTCAATCAAAGAAGAATTATCTACATATTATCTTCCCAATGCATCAAATTTTCTGCTTTTACTTGCTCTGGGGTTTTGCTTTGTTTCAGTGATGTTCAATCACCTGTTTCCCTTAAAATGGCTAAATATCTCTAAAATAAATACATAAGAGGGCTGACTGAAAAGTTTACAGCCTATCTGTGAAAGGCCTGTACAAAGTCGATGGTTTCCATTTATTTTTCTACATACATGTAGACCCCTTCGAGGTGTACAGACTTTTGCCAACGACGTTACAAAGCTTGGACGCTGGTCAGGAAGAAGTTTTCTTAAGCCACCCTAAAAAAGTCATTCGCAGCTGACATGACGTCATCATTACTAGGAAACGGTCTCATCCATGGTTACAATTTTGGCCCAAAAATTATCAGGATCTGCTTCAAAAGGGCTCAGATTGTCATGGGGCGTCAGGAATCTGACACCGTTGAGAGCTTTGGCACCCATCTTGCAGAAGCTCTTGTCATTCCTAACTCGTTGGCTATAATGTGCTCAACCCTCTCATGAGAGATGCCCACAACACTGGCAATAGGATGAGTGGTCAATCAACCATCACCATGTTATGCACGGGTAATGTTTTCTTGACTGGTTGCTGTTGATGGCCTTCAAGGACGCAAGTTATCGTCAAGACTCTCTCTGCCATGCTTAAATTCTGCAGCCCACTTCTTTACTGTCGACATGTATCTGTGTTGGGGTTATAGTCCAGTTGCAGGTACTTGATGACTGCTCTATAGGCAGTTTTGTTAATTTCTGGTGAATTCAATGGGTAGGTGAACAAGATGGTCTGGTACGAAGACAATAATAACACTACAGTTGCAGTTTTCACGTCTATTGTTCATTCAATGGTTGTACTTGTTGGTTGTTTCAACCCAATTGATTTCAACCTTTGCAGGCTTAGAACTTTTCAGCCAGCCCTCGTATATCATATACAATTTTAAAGATATCTGAATACAGAAGATAAATTTATGCACAGATGTGTTCAGATCATTTTGTCATAGCTGGTCACATATGGTTACAAGGCCAATTATGAAAATTCAGTGGCAGGAGATAATACATGTACATATAAGGCATTAAACCAAATCTACATAAAATGCACGGAATCTCAGGAATATTTCAATAATAGGCTTAATTCTTCTTTTTAATTAATCTGAGTATCCTATTCATATACAATGCAAATATTAGTACACGCACAGTATTAGTACTAATAATCTCTTCTGTAACAATTTATAAAAATACATGTAGGCCTACTGTAAGCAAGCAAGCAAGCAAAATAAGAATATATATGTATACTGAGAAATGTAGGCCTACCAACACCTTTGAATGGTGGGTGTGTAAAGCTACATACACTATATTTCAATACAGCTATATTTATAATAACTTTTCAACTATGACTGAAAATGGGCTCTGCTGTCACACTTAAAAATTTCTACCATAAATGTATATATATGCAACCACATATTTTCATAATTTTATGATTAACTTTGTAGGATCTACAGAAAGAAAACAAAACATGGCTACTTATGTAAATGTAACCAATGCAAATTTGTAGCAAATATTAATAAAGTAACAATAAATTTCAATATTCTAGAACATAATTCAACAGTATAATAATACAACCATAAGTACAACAATGTAACAAAATTCACACCTTTTTGATACTGAATCCATCTATTGATAAAGATAGGTTGCCAGGCAATGAAATATACGCCCACAGCAGCTAATTCGTCCGAGCAGTCAACAAGAAAAATTCCATATTTATTCTTTAGTTGGTAATAGGAGCATTTACAAGACACTGGTATCAATTTCATACAGATTCAAGGGCCATTACTCTAGAAGTTATTAACCTAATTTGTTGAAATACAATAGGCTTCTTGGTTTTACTAATTTAAATAATGCATATAAATTTAATACAGATCGGATGATAACCATAGTTGTTAGTTCTTTCAAAAGGTTATACAAAGTGACACAAGGGCCATAAGCCCATAATGTTCTAAATAATAACAGACAGCTTTATGGATGACATTCACTAGGTTTATTAACTGCAACGTTTCAATGAGGTTACTCTCACCGTTATCAAGCAATGTTCTAAATAATTAACGGAAAATGATGAAATTCAATAGGATTCTTCGTCTCACTAATGTAACAACTACTAACAACGTATATAAATTTCAGAAAGGTTGAATAATAAATGTAGTCTGTAGAATGTTCATAAGAAATTGTGGCCAATGGACATAGGCGACGATAATTTACATCTACGACATTGTACAACCACATTTTCATGTGGGAGTATAATAAAACACAATAATAAGCCCATTACTTCAAAATAATTAACAGAAATTGATGAAATTCAATAGGCTTCTGTGTCACACTAGGCGACAACAATTTACATGTATGACCACATTTCCATGTGGGAGTATAACAAAACACAATAATAAAGATCTGATTAAAATTTATAACAAATACGTAAAACATCTTTAGTTCCACCAATTAACAAACACCTTGAATTATATATCCCATTTATTTCAACCTCTCTCTCTCTCTCTATCTCAGTTTACTATGCAAAACATAATTATTATAAATATTGTAAACATGATTTAACATTGTTGTATTAAGCCAGTTTTAAACACGCAGAAACACCACTGGCGTTTGTAACAAGGGAAATCTCATCCAAAAATAACATTAAACTGAGGCTAAGTAGGTAGGCCCAGAGCCATATATATATATAAGGCTCTGGGTAGGCCTATTGGCTCTAGGACAATTCGTTCCTGAATGACTTGTCCTGGATTGTCCCATAGGACTATTTATCCCCTAGAGCTATTTGACCCCAGACAACTCGTTCCCAAGGACAATTTGTCACGGGACAATTTTTCTCGTTACTATTCGTCCCCAGACAATTTGTCTCATGACTATTCGTCACATAGGACAATTCATACCCTTTTGGACAATTTGTCCCAGGACAACAATAATGGTAATTCCATTAACAAAAACTGAATTAATCTTTACCCTTTATCCTAAATCTCAGTTTTGATGCTAGAATTAGGCCTACATAGTTTTACGTTTAGTATTAAATCTAGACCTTAACTAAATGGTCCTGAAGTGGTAATTGATAGAAATAGCATCTGCATGGTTATAACCAGTGGTTACCAGGCAATATACACCCACATTTTGCAAGAGTTGGATAGAGAACAAGCTAAAAAGATAGGTTGCCAGGCAACGAAACATACGCCCACAGCAGCTAAATCGTCCGGGCAGTCAACAAGTGTCGTCGCATATTTTTACTTCTTTTGGTAATGAAACATTTATAATACACTCATGAAGTAATTATCAGAAAACCATTAGAATTTGTTTGGTTTTTAATATCATGGATTTAGCTGTTCAAGTCATAAAAATTCATTGAAAATCAATATACTTGTTCGTCTCAAGCTCTTAAACTCTGTGTATCAATCTGAAGTCAATCGGATGATAACTTTAGCCTCTAGAGCGTCACAAGATTTTTCAAAGTGATCAAGGGCCATAACTGTGACAGTAATTATCGAAAATCACTGAAAATGAATAGACTTCTTTGTCTCATGACCTTAAACACTGTGTATAAATTTAAAGTCAACCGGATATGGACTTTGGCCTCTAGAGCGTCCACAAGATTTTTCAAAGTGATCAAGGGCCATAACTCTGGCAGTAATTATCTGAAATCGTTGAAAATCAATAGGCTTCATCGTCTCATGACCTTAAACACTGTGTATAAATTTCAATCGGATATTAACTTTGACCTGTAGAGCGTCCACAAGATTTTTTTAAGCCATCAAGGGCCATAACTCTGGCCGTAATTATCGGAAATCAATATCACCAAGATCGGATAAAAATTGTGACTTCTAGAGGGTCCACAACCGTGGTAGTGCACTATTTTCGTACAAGTACATGTAGCAGCGATTTTGTTGGGCAGTTTCGGGCAGTTTTTCACGAAATTCGAACTCAACCATCGTTATATAGTTTAATCGGATAAAAATTGTGACCTTTAACTGATCCACAAGCTAAGAAAACATAATTTTTCGTAAAATCAGGGGCCATAATCCAGGAAGTTGCGGTCTGATATGCACGAATATCAAAAGGAACCAAGATCTTTGGGTTATAAACATAACGGTCAAGTTTCATCAAAATCGGATAAAAATTGTGACTTCTAGAGGGTCCACAACCTTGGTATTACACACTTTTAACTATTTGCGTACATGGAGCGGCTCTTTTGTCCAGCAGTTTCGGTCTGATTTTTACAAGATTTGAATTCAATCTTCATTGAGGTATAACAGTGATATATTTAAATGGTTTTTAAAATTGAATACAAATTGTGACTTTAAGAGGGTCCTCAAGCTAAAACGTGATTTTTCGACCAATCAGGTGCCATAATCCAGGAAGTCACATTCTGATACGCGTGATTTTTTTTTTAACAACACAGGGACAACTAGACCTAGGGGACGAATTGTCATCAGGTATGAATTATCCAGGGGTTGAATAGTGCTAGGGGACGAATAGTGCTAGGGAACGAATAGTGCTAGGGGACGAATTGTTTAAGGACGAATTATATGGGGACAATTTGGTGGGGGTACGGATAGTCCCAGGGGACGAGTTCTCAAGACAGGTTGTCAGAGGACAAACTGTCCCATACCCAGGCATATTGTGTCTAAAGTCGTATTACATTCATGTTCATAAATGATATTATTAAATAACTCGTCTAAAACCGATTCAGTAGATATTACATAGAAAGGTGAGAAACACACTGCCAAATAAAGTTAGGATCAGTCAACCAGTCGCAATGCTCACCCATTGACTTTACAACCTGTAGTAAAAATTGGAGTCTAGCAATAGACTTTAGACATTATACATGTATGTCTACTTAGACTCAGTTTAGTGCCATTTTTGAAAAAGAGTTTCCATGTTACAGGTGCCTGTGAGAAATAAGGGCTATGTGATGAAGATTAAATGTAATGTAAACTTGTATTGATCATCCAAAAAAGGGTATACATCCAGCATTCTTGACCCAACAACACCTGAAGTTTGTTCCAAGTGGTACATGTACATGTATATTTCACAAAGTTGATGATTTATTTAACAATGAATAATATTCTGTTCATAGAAGACAATACCTGTATTTAGAAAATATTATGGATGTGTTCACTTTCCATCATATACACATCCTGTTTCAATTCTTCATCTCCTTTAGAGAGTTTCAAAAATCGCACTCCGCACAATAATGCCAGAAACAGTAAAAATGTACAAATAACAAAAATCATTCGGTTTCCATGACGAAACACATCTTCATGTAATAACATTAGTACAGCACATGAAATAAGATTTAGTGGAATTCGAAACCAATTCATTATACTGTACCTATAGTTTTCAGGGATTACACGATTCCGTAAATATCCCATTGCCGGAAAGTACATGCCAACACCAAACTGAAATATTAGGAATGCAATAAATGAAGCCTGGATATCACGTTTTTCAGGATGAGAAGAAAACACACAGATAATATTCGCAACAGCTGCTAAACTTGTTGACGAGAGTAGCAAGGCAACAACTGGAATATTTCTCCATGCCAAAATGTGAAATACCGCTTGACCAATTAAGATGCTGACCATAAAGCTGGCAAAAACAAGACCCAATGCCGAATGACCAGTGTCCAAAATAGGTGTCCACAAAAAGATCACTATGTAAATTACACTTTCATAAAGAGATTCAATGGCTCCAATCATAAATATTTTCTCACTTGATACAATGTTTCTTAATCCCTCACAACAAGATTTAGTAAAATTTACTTTATGAGCACTGTAGTTTTCATTCCAATGAGTTGATATGATGATTCCGACAAATATCAGAAAAGGCACAGCCATCATATATGGAGCCACAGGGCCCAATCCGAACCATTCTGAGAAAATGTTTGTGGTCATTCCAGCCAGAACCGCAAGCAGACCATTCCAAAATGATGCCTTTGCAAATGTCACGGAAATCCATTCTTTTGGAAAATCATGTGTTTCAATATGTTCATGGACATACCAGGCTTCAAATGCCGAGAAAAGAACTGATGTGGCCACTCCACCCAACACACGACCAATCAGTAAAATACCATAACTTCTAGATAGCTTGAGCATACACGATAAGGAATAAGTAACAGTAAATACGATGCAAAGTTTCTTTCTTCCAAATTGGTCAGCTGCAATTGGTGTCCATGTACCTAAAATAACTGTTGAGGCAAATCCAAACACATATAAGATGGCAATTTGTTCTTCTTGAAATCCATAATAGCTGTATAATTTATACAAATATGGTCCTTGTAACCAATCTGCAAACATAGCCACAAGATAAACTGCGAAATAACCTCTTTGAAATTTGAGAAACTGTGGATTATTTCCAATTGTTTCATCTCGTCTGATCTTGTGGGCCCAATATTGAAGGAGTGCACACAGAATGGACAGGGAAATAAAGACGGAATATACAATAGGTGTTATATCTAGCTGTTCTTTATTCATGATGAATACATTTAATTAAGCAGATTTGACATAAATTACTTCGGCTTCTCCATACTTCTAATACCTATAATAAAAATGATTCAAAAAATTATTAAGGAAACCAAACATTCTAACCCAAGTGTAGTCTGATTTTTGTATCACAATTTGAATCACCCTACTATCAATGACAATAAATAATGCTGATATGGCAGAGATTGAGTCAATAGCTTACCGAAAAATCCAAAAATCAATGAATAGAAAGCTGATTTTTGTGCTACATGTATGTGAAATTATCACAGGCCACCAAACAGTTAAGCCCAGTGGTAAGTGGTATTCCATTAAGTTAGCTGATAATTAGAAGTAAGTAATGAAATGAGGTGAGGTTAATGTTCTACTTTTCTGATGTAACAGGGATAATGAAGACAGGTATACACAGTGTCCTCTCATTGTTACTGTTTGCACCTATTAAGATGCAATATGAAAATACAGCTCTACCCGCATCTTTGTTCTAAGGCTATTTTGGAATCCTTATCTTCTATTTTTCACTGTGATTCTTTTTTTTTTCCGCCAAAAGGAATCATTTATAATTCAACGCTATTTTCAATTTTGCGATTCAAAAACCTAAACAAAACACGTTTGAATAGGTAGTCATTATGAAACTGGCATGTTCGTGGCTGAATCGCAAAATTCTACTTCCAAAATAGACGTACCAACAAGCAAAAACCACAGAGCAGACCAATAGGACGTTAAAAGGCGTATGGCTTTATTTTTTGGAACCTTGAAATAGACAAACATGGATCTAAAAGCACATAGGCCTATTAATGTAATAAAAAATGTATGTAAAGTGACTTATATTCAACTTTTGAAAAAATATGTTGTAATTTCTAATCAATTATGTTCGGTGAAATATGTGAACAGTTCAAATTGAACAGTGTTCGTTTACGTCTGCTTAGTGTATTCTACACATTTTTTAAAATAACTATTTTGTCGTTTGCTAATTACTTCCACATTGTGATGTAGGATTTGTTTTTATTTGTTCATTACAAACTGGCACTCCTGTACTGATTATAAAATTGATTGTGTTTTTGATTTCGAATATTATGGAAAATACTGAGTAAGAGACTCGAGTAAGAGACTCCTTTAAGCCACATTTCATGTCAGTTACAGTTGTATCTTTACTCGTTAAGGGGGTAAGATGCCGATTCCTACATTGGCCGAGAAAGAGAGAAATGGGGTTTAACGTCCACTCGACACAAACTAGGTCATTTCGGGACTAACACATGGTTCAATTTTATTTCAATAATTCGCTGGCCCGTAGGGGTCTTTAACAGTGGGAGGAAACCGGAGGACCCAGAGAAAACCCACGAGGTTGGACAGGCGACCCTACTCCTTGTCACGTACAACCAGGGAATCGAAACCACACCAGTTGACTCAATGACAGACCTTATGATACATCGTGCACATGCTAACCATTCCACCATCCAACCCCCTTCCATTGGCCGAGAAAGTTCATCCAGATTTTCCGGCGTGGTTTCCCCTTGTCAGTGATGCAGGACGGAGGGCCTGACAAGGACAGCTGTCTAATCGTTCGGATGGGATCAAAAACCGAGGTCCTGTGACTGTGTACACATTGGTATGCACGTAAAAGATCCCTTGTCAGTTGAATTTGATATAAGAGTAGGCCGGAATGCTGCCGTCCGGGCAAAATTGCCCTTGCGGCACACTGTATGGTGTATGTCCATCCTCATTAGCCCAGTTTGGATCAGAACAGTAGGATGTTAAACCCCATTTCATTTTTTCATTTACTCCCTTTTTTAGTTTTACTTTTTTTTGAGTGGGGAAGGGGAATTTGAAGTTCATTGATGACACTGATAAAGTAAAGCTACATAGAGATAATGCGTATACAATTATCTCACATTATATATTAATTAATGGTCTTGATTGGCCAATTAACAACACAGATTACTCTCTAGGCTTCTCCAGAGAAACTTACCAAGACAACAGTACATCGAACAAACTCTGCCACAGTGGAAGCTTGACATGTCAACATATAATCTCAACATAAATCATTCCATAATTTCATATTTTTTTTATTATTTATCACAAGTGACATACACAGAGGATAATGTCATTTTCGTTTTTTAAATTATTGTATGTCATACAAAAGCCAGTCGTATAATCAAATAACTCCATTTTAACTTCAAATCAATGAAATATAAAGATTAGCAATTTTGTTTTGAGAGTTTCAAGTACCTGCTTCCTGTAAACAAGACTCGTACAACCAGACAATTGTGTTAACTGACGTTTTTGATTGGTTTCTATATATAACTCTATGGTTGTACTGTACTGGAAGATCGGGAAAATGGAAAATGAGCACCGGAAAATGATGGAGGACGAAAACGAAAACATGGAACATGTGCCCCATGTGGACGAAAGTTCTGCAAAACTCTCTACAGATGAAAAAAATGAACCTAAACTACCACAAAAAAAATATTATAGACAGCGAGCCCACTCGAATCCAATATCTGACCACAATTTAGATTAGTAAGCTTGATGTTATGATGAGATCTCAACTGATTCTTCTGACGTAGGCATGGACCTTATATTATAGGCTTATAAAAATAATATGTAAAACTAAAAGTACTAAAAAAAGACATTGCCAGAAAAGAGCGAAGCTGATGTAAAACCTTCATAATTAAGTTTCTCAAGTGATACAAATAATGTTAAATAATTTCGTTTTTCCGAATTGATTTTAATTTAGATCATCATCATCAAAATTGTATGAGTAATTTTAAAAAAAAAAAAAAAAGAACAAAAAATGTGAGAATTATTTTCACTGATATGTCAAAAATATGTGACGTCATTGATTAGACACGTCATTGATTAGATACGTAATAGAATATTTCTATGAATTTTTTTTAATCAACAGTCTGTGGGTGACAGTTTTAGTTACGCTCCCGTGTAACTCTAGCTTTGCTCTATATTATATTACCATTTATGTATTATAAGGTCCATGACGATACAAACTATAACTAGGCTAATTAAATTAGTTGTGTCGATTTGTCTGTCCAGAATAAATGAAATGAAATGGGGTTCAATGTCCTAATTTTCTGCACCAGCTGGCCTAATGTAGACGGGTGTAGACCATCTGGTTTGGTATGAGTGAAATTTTGCCCATACAGTGGTGCTACGGCCTACTCTTACTCTTAGGTCAAGCAAGGGTTCTTTTTACTTAGAAATGGTTCCACTACTGATATCTTCAGTCTTGCTCCACATTCAGTACTGCACATAGCTTAACATAAAAAAAACCAATTTCCATTGAAATAAAGGTTAAACCTTACCAGATAAATTCATAAATTGAATAAAATCCAATGGCTATGCAATATTTCTCTCTTTAAAAAAATGTCCGCCAAAGCAGAATAAGAACACACACGTGATTAAAACTCACTTCATAAATGTAGAAGAACTGTTCAGTATCTATTTCAGTGTTCCACTCTTCACTATTTAAAACTGCTATGATATGTGTTGCGAATTTTGCATAATTAAGCTGTTTTTACTTGCGCAAAAGCTTGAAGAGTCTATCAATTGTAGCAACGGACACGACAAGTCCCCGTTGCAATATTGCAGCTAAGGTTCTTTTATGGGCACCCTAACACTACACATGACCTTGGTTTTTTTGTCCCATTCGAACAAGCGACACTGTCTTTGCCAGGCTCTCTATCATGCAGCCACCAAAAAAGGGTTTTGATTTTTAGTCATTCTTGAATATCTTTTTCTACTACAAGTTCAGTTCACATCATGTGTCTACATCCTACAGTATATCAAACATTATACAAGTCGATCAGTAACATGTGTTAATCATGACCAATAATGAACGCACCATTCTTAGAATAACATCTCAATATACAGAGATACTAACGTAATATTAAAGAACACATACAAGAGGATGGAACCGCTTTGATTATAACTTCCACACACAACTGATTGAAATTATTTGATATATAACCATTAACATATCACATGCTTAAAATCACTTTTAAATGTCATGATCATACAATCTGATTAAAATACAGATCTATATTTCATTTTTTTATACTTTCGATGGCTTACACTACACTTACGAATGGCTTTTGACCCTATGACATCAGACATAGATTAATCAATCAGCGTTGACGTTTCTAGTGGTTTACCCTCAGTTTCGTGCATTGCACACCAAGAACTCGCCGTAACAGATCGTTTCATTGGCTAGTCCCTCACTTCAACCAGAATGCCGGTAATATAACAACTCATCCAGATACTAGTGTAGTAAAAACAATTAAAACAAAATTTTGAACTATAAAAAAACGAAACGAATTAGGATCTGTGTTTTAATCAGATAGGTGATCACAACAATAACAGGATATAGGTTGGTGATGTCAGAGGCACTACACATAACAGCATTAATATCTGGCCAATGTTTATTTACACCAAAGTTGAATCTACACTATACAATTTTCGTTACATATTAGCAACTTTCTAAAATATGTATTAGATTCTCGATGCATCATTTTAAGCAATAGGAATTCCTTGTAAATTACAATACTGTGAACGGTAAATCTCTATTAGGAATATCTGTCGAATGGAAATTTTATCGATCTATGTTGCATGCTATGTGATAAGCCTGCTGCAATTTTGTTGTAGGAGAACAGAAATGATAGGTTTTTTTTAAATTTTATTAAATCCAAGCCGGAAAGTTATCAGTTGTTGGTATTTTGATTATGTTTTCTTAATTAAATGTTTGATAATCAATCTGAGTATATTAAAGTGGATTAAGTCATGAGGAATTTGATATTTTAGCAAAAACTGCAAATGCTGCATCGTTACTTTAAGAGTAAATATTGAATGAATGATAAATAACACAATTTGATTTCATGTTTTGTAATTTTCAGTCCTATCAAACCAGATGAAATGGATTGGTCATCATATTTTCCAGATTATTGTAAGCCACCATCAGATACAAATGATAAAACTGTTGTCAAACATCAAGTAGAATTTGCTGATATTGGTTGTGGCTATGGTGGATTGTTAGGTATTCTACAATAAATTTTGTACAATAAAAGATTCCTTAATCTCTATAGAATTATACACAGCTTTATATTCTTTGATATATTAAAAGTTGTATTGGGATTAGCAGTAATATAATACAAATTAAATACAATTCTAATTTCATGTTCGTCCGCTGTCTGAAACCAGATAAAAGTAGCCATTCACAACTTTGCTCAGAATAAAGTAATTTGACTGAAATTTTAATACATTCATTTTGCGTTATGTATTTCTGAACTATTATAGCAAGAATGGACAGCTCTTTCCCTAAATCTGGCATAATGTATCTTTAACCATATTAACATACGTAATTTTCTAGTTCATAATTACATATAGCATGAAATGCGCTCAGTATAAGAAGCTACCGGTACAAAAACAGATGTTTGACTTATTTTATGTTTCAGTGAAATTATCTCCCTTATTTCCTGATACACTAATGTTAGGAATGGAGATAAGAGTGAAAGTGTCTGATTTTGTGAAAGATAGAATACAAGTTCTTCGATTGAAAGAACCAGGAAAATATCAAAACATAGCATGTATAAGATCAAATGCCATGAAATATCTCCCCAATTTCTTCTGTAAAGGACAGGTAAGTGGCAAATATGGTAGATTTTCTCTGTTTCTTTTGGGGCAATGCTTTAGTTTCAGAGCCTCATTCCATAAAGCATATAATATAATGTCCATGGTTATAGTAAATTTATTATAAGGATATATATACTGTCTAATTAAATTTTCAGTTTGTATGCCCACAATACTGGGATTTACTGTCAAAAGAAACAATTTTGAAGTTCTCCAACTATCTGGACAAAAATTGGTCAACTGCTGAATGCACTTATGTTGAAATCCTATCAATTTTGAATCTGAAACTCCAACATTGTAACAATTTACTGACAAATTGGTCAACTGCTGAATGCACTTATGGTGGAATCCGATCAATTTTGAATCCGAAACTCCAACATTGTAACGATTTACTGACGACAATAGATACTTTAAACCCAGCACTAGACTTTATGCAACAGGACACTTTTTTTAACCTAATTTTTTTATTATAGATGTACATGTATAAATATATGAATATTTGGTTAATACTCCTTGTGTTTTCAGTTGGCAAAAATGTTTTTCCTTTTTCCTGATCCTCATTTTAAAAAGACAAAACACAAATGGAGAATTATCAGTACCACTTTATTAGCAGAGTATGCATATGTGTTAAGAGAAGGTGTAAGTACAATAGAATTTTTATATTATCAAAATGAACAGGTATGTCCAGTTTACAAAGATCGACTTGCATTGCAGGCTTAGTTTGGGAAAAATGCTGCCATTTACAATCTTACTATGTGGACCAGGAATCAAGCATGATGTCATCGCAGCCAGCGTGGAATTATGATGTCATATCAAATATCAAACTCTATTAATCAATGTGCAATTGTCTAAGGAACAGGCTTGCAAAGTTTTATGTCGATCTTACTTGAATGGCTGAGCCTTACACTTTTTTCTAAGAAAATGAAGAAGAACAAGACGTACAGTAAGATGAGTAGTACCTGGTCCTGAAATTTATAAATTTTGACATTCAACTTTTGATGGTCGACAGTATTTTACTTAAAGGTTTGAATACTTAGTGATTCCAAGACTGCGACAAATAAACTTCTTACTAAAGTAGTAGTAGTGGGTAGAAGTATTCCTGGAAAAGTGGAGGTCAGCATGGATCTCAGTGATACCGTAGGAGCAAAAAGGAAGCAATCCTTCAAAAATAATCCCAAAATACTTCTCAAATTCTATCTTAATAACGTATGGTCATGTTCTTGTTATAGAAATATTTAGTACTGGTATTATGTTTGTTATTTTAGGGTTTAGTATATACGATAACTGATGTTAAAGATTTACATGAATGGATGGTTGAACATTTTATTAAATTTCCACTGTTTGAAAGGGTACCTGAAGAAGAATTAGTAAGTATGATTAATAGTCATAAAATAATAACCAGTTAGACTCCCCCTCCTCCACCCACTTAAAAACAAGAAGATCTGGCCTTGCACATGATTAATGATAACAGGAGATTTAACTGTAGACAAGTACTGGTATTAAAGGTGCAATAATTGTCAAAGTCTTTCTTATCGTAATTAAATAGATTTGAACAACAAACCACCAATAGCTATAAATAGACTTTATTTTCCTAAAATTACTGAAGTTGAATTATTCTCTTCTCATGATTAATTACTTATCGTAACAAACAGAAGTTTCATGATATACTACAGAATGTACTTCAGAAAAACACAAGATACTTATATAATTCGTATCTTTAAATAGATAACCGAAAATAATTTAATTCATACATGACTTGTACTATTTTATTTCAGAGTAATGATATAGTTGTAGAGAAACTATATGACAGTACAGAAGAAGGACAGAAAGTAACTAGAAATAGTGGTGATAAATATTTGGCTGTATTTAGAAGATTACACGATGAGTGTAGTGATACTAGTTGACAAGTATTGAATAAAAAATATGATATACAAACGTTATAGCTGTGATAGATGTTTCATTCTTTATCATACTATGGTCAAAGACACAAAAAAGTCTATTGAATTTCAGTGGAGTTATTACCTTTTAAAGCTTTGTGAATGCTATACAATGAAATTTATTAGCCTGGCTACTGTATATTTACATGCCTTGTTTCAATTAATGAGGCATGAAAGTCTATCAGATTTCAGCAAGTTTCGAATTTTACTCCATAACTTATTGCCATTGCTCACTTTTTAAATCTTGTGAATGCTTGTCAGTTTCAATAATGTCTTATGTCTTACTGCTAGATTTATTTCCCTTGCTCACTATTTAGAATATTACATTATTTCTAGTGATATTAATAGTTAAAAAAATGAAAGTATGCAAACCTTTATTCACTACTCAGACCTCTTAGCTGCTGTTGGTGTATATTTATTGCCTGGCAACCTGTCTTTTCCTTGGGTTCCAAAAAGTCCACTGTTTAGAGTTTGATATTTGAAATTGTTGCTTTGACATTGCACATATAAAGATAGATAATGTTAACCTGTGAAAATGTTAAAGAGTTATATATTGTAATTGTATACTGAATCTTTATCAAGAATGCCAACCATCATCATGTATAACACACTATTTATCATGTCATTTAATATAATAAACATGTTCACATTGTTTGTGTTACCTGTTAGATACTCTTATTTCTTTATACATAAGCAGGGATTTAAAGTCTCTGGACATCATTTTGAGGGATTGCTGAATCTGTCGATAACTACAATATTGTGGAAGTTGAATCTCTAAGAGGCATATCAGTCCAAAAATGGTTCATTTCAGTTCAATATTTACAAAGATATGGTGATTTAAAAATTTGCTAGTGATTTTTTGATCATATTATTGACATTTATATTTAATTATCTAAATTAAATGACAAATATTAAAGGGCTAATCCCGATAATTTTTTGGAGAATAAAACTGTTTAATTTTGTTTTAAAATCCCTTCAAATCCTCTACCTAAGGGCCGAGGAACTAACTCAATATTTGTGATAAGTTTTCAAATAACTGAAACCCATCAGTCTCCATCTGGAAATGGAGACCAGTGTCCCAAAGCTGTATTATGCGGTGTCTAGATAAAACCAGACATTTTTTGTATAAAAATAATGTGTAGGTGAAATTTACCTTTCATTATCAGGTACAGCATTTGGGTCATTCACTGTATAGACCTCTCAATGAACGGGATTCGATTATCAGGTCTCCCAACAAAAAAATTGACCCAAAATCTTAAAAGGGTTACGTGTCCAGATAAGCAGTTTTGACGGTCACATCCAAACGACTCAATATTTTGAGCTGAAATTTTAAGATACGGTCAATACACCATTCCTCTATATTTTGGCGTTAAAATTTCATACATAGGCTACTCAGATTTTAATTTTAAGGCTCTGTTCAAATAAGGGATAGTTCCTTTAATATGAGTACATTTTAGCATTTCAACAGCTGTGTAAAATATGATATTTTTTGAAAATCCATCACCATCTCTAATCTTGCTATTGATCTTTTAATCATACTATTGACTTTTTTATTTAATTTTCTGAATTAAATGTCAAATAATCAATATGAGTACAACAGCAGTGTGGAAAATATGATAAGTGCAAAAACTTAGAAGAGATCAGTGTTCTTGCAGTCAGATAGTAATAACATAACTCAATGCATTAGCATTTTGAAATTTTAGCGCCACCTCTCTTTAAACATAGATTATGCAAGAGCTAAATCTGATTATTGCAAGTCTTTATTTAGGCTTCAGATGTCATAGAAATTATAAATTAGATCTTTATTTGTACAACAAGCACAAAATCAACTCTGATGGCTTGGATTTAAACAGGATTTCATTGATTGATTAAATTTTGACATGGCGTCGTGAGCGGAGATTAACCGTTAAGTTGACGTCATACTCCCGGAAATTTTAGATCAAGGCTAAATGATAGAGTGTATGAAGCGAGGCCGCTGTTGAGCGAGGCCGCATGTCAGTCAATTTGAGTGAAAGTTCGATATATACGGCCTTGATATTATGTTTAGTTGTGGTTAAAATGAGAGTTTGGATGTCGGTATTATACGCTCTTTTGTCACTTGCGTTTACAGAAATATTATGGAAATTGATAAAAATCGCAGCTAACATCACCCCAGTTCCTATAGTATTTGTTACTTGTCTGCTTCGGGAGTTACGTACAAGAGTACACACAGGCTAACAAGAAGTCGGCTATACTTATGCCTCATTGATTTCGTCCATTCCTTTCAAACTTTCGCTTCTTATCTATATATTAAGTGTCTTATTTTTAATTTATAGTAAAAATAAATTTGATACGAATTGAATTGCAACCCCGTCTCAAACCGAATAGGCTAACAGTACCACCGCCATTGAAAACGTTACTTGATAATCGAGATTATGTAGGTGGAGTTAACGCTTGTCAATCAAACGATCGGCCATTCTTGGAGACGGTGAAGAGAGAGTTGACTCCTATTTCTAGTCAAAAATTACAATGGTGATAACTTTGTTCAGAATAAAGTAATTTGACTGTAATTTTCAATACATTCTTCTTTCATCATCTATTTTTGAACTGTTATAGCAAGAATAGCCAACTCTCTTTTAAAATCTCCCATAATGTATCTTTAAAAAGTCTGTATTTAATGTGCAAATTCCTTGATAAGATACATGTGCACTACACTTCTTGATGATACACTTTATATGGACCTTGGTTGAGCCACACCACTAGACAAAGGGCGTTCTAGTGCCCCCTTGGTAGACATGACAGCACGTTGGTGTGGAAAATAATTAAATATGATTCAACAAAGTGATCATGTAAATTGTTGTGCAATTTTAGGGGAATAAAAAGCATGGAACTTTGACAAAATATGTACAGGGCATAGGAATCTTCTGTCTTTATAGATGCATGATTGAACTCAGTCCAGTTGACACAAAGAGCAAAACGTGGAAGTATTTATCAGGTAGATTTTTCCAATAAAAAGTAATGCAATTTTGGTATACCCTGGTACATCGAAAGTAGAGACATCCAATCAGAAAAATACTGGTTTTCCCCAAAAATACCCATTGGGCGTGCACAAGACGAAAATGTGAGGGTATCCCTTAATGATAGCCTGTCTCTTGGAGTGACGTAAGGAGTGCCTTTGATGGGTTGATCTAATGGCCAACGGTTGTGAGAACATAGATAGAATTAAACATCCAGTAGACCGGAATAAATGGTGGAAAAAGAATTACTTATGCCCTAGGCTTTGATATTTATGGTTAATGTACAAATACAAGTCGACAATGGATTCTCCCTCAAGTCACTTGATAAACAAGCCTGATTCTCGCAACATGGGGTAGTTTTCTGCTGATTTAAATGTTTTGAAAGGGATTTAAAGCAAACTTGATAGATAAATCAAGTTTGAATATGGTTTTAATCCAAATAGATCATCAAATCACACAGTTTGTTTCCGGCGTGGTTCCCCCTTGTCAGTGATGCAGGACCTGACAAGGACAGCTGTCTAGTCGTTCGGATGGTACGAAAAACTGAGGTCCCGTGTACACATTGGCGTGCACGTAAAAGATCCCTTGACAGTTAGAATTCGATATAAGAGTAGGCCGTAGTGCCGCTGTCTGGGCAAAATTTCCCTCATAGCACACTGTATGGCTTATGCCCTTCTTCATTAGCCCAGTTCGGAGCAGAACAGTAGGACGTTAAACCCCATTTCATTTCACAGTTTGTATGTGGAAAGGCATTCTAACACTGCTATATAAATGGAATTTAGTAATTCATCAACTCATTACTTTGGGAATTTGGCACAAAGATATGGTAATTTTTATTTCTAGTTTTATGCATGCAATATTAGGGAGATAAATTGGTTTGGACAGCTGTATTTCCGTCTACATTAATTCTTAAATTTCCACAGCCAAGAGTTCGTTCACATACATGCGTGAGGGTTTATTCTACGTCCAAATAATTTGGCACACAATCTTTGTCAGACCTGCAAGCACCATCTCCACAAAGCGAGATTTGGCTTGAAAATCCTAAAGGCTCTTCTTGTTCATTATTCCTGGATTTGAATTGATCCCAGTATTTTAGACCTGTCAATGTTACATGCCCAAGACTCATTTACTCCGCTCATTTTAGATCACATGATTATTAGGGTTTGGGTATTTTTAAATATAATTCATAGATAGTTTATGCTATGCAAGTCTGTTGTAACTGCACTCTAGACATTCCTTTGTTTTGTGTCAGAACACAAGACACAGAAGTTCATATGAGAATTGTTATTTATTCATCAAAATGAAAACATGTTAAAATGGTTTGAGTTTTGTGCTTTTAATAATGAAATATATACAGTAAATACATTAACCATAGAGAGATATAAAATATCCTACACAGAGACCTTTAAAAGGCACTTTAATTATTAACCATAGCACAAATAAACAAGGCACAAATTAACCTTTTTCTTTCTTATATAGCACATTTCATAGGTTTTTAATATGAACCACTTTAAGTAGAAATTCTTAACTTCTAGATATCAACAAGAAGTCACCTTTTTTTTGTTATAAACTATTATTATAGATTTTTCCTAAAACTTAAAATTATAATAAAAAAAAAAATTATTAATGCCATTTTGATTTCATACATTCCTTTGTACAAAGATATATTAAATATTTCTAAGATCAATAAAGGGCTTTTTGTACAAGCCAATTTTATAATGATATATGTATATGTAGTGTTTATGTAAATATATTCAATATCTATATAATAAAATGATGGTATTTATTGATTGTCACCGAAAAAAATTCAAATACTATACATTTGAAGACAAAAAAAGTAACATAATATATATATAATATATTTGATGGTGTATATATTCCAGTCAAAGTGCCAATAATAAAAATCACCCCCAATAATCTAGGCATGTCGTTAAAAGTGGAAACATTTTGATTTATTAATAAAAGTGATTTAGGTGGTAATAGTGACGCTCCTTGTTGTAAACCTATATATAATATTTTCCTCCCACCCTCCTACATGTACATTTTTAAATTTCGTTTACATATTTAATTCATAAAAAACTATAACAAAAATTTTGCTCCAAGTTTGTGTGAATGAATATTAAATTCACACCCTTCACAGAAAGGAAAACAAAAAAGGAAACAATCTAATATTTCTGGTGAACAAATAACAAACAAAATCTATAACAAACCGAACTTTTTCACTTGATTTTATAATAGCACATTTTCTTGAGGTGTTCAAATAACACATATGGAATTTTTACAGGTTTTTACTTAAAATAATTATTAAAGAATTGTGAATGATAAACGTATCTCTATAATTGAACTTAAAAAAAAGGCAAACAGAATCCTAACACAAGAGATTAAAATATACTCTAAAGATGATTTGTTTAATACAATGACGGCCAAAGAATATTCCTGGATTTGAATAAAGAAAAAGTATGAAAGTGTGTTTTTCTTAGTATTAAATGCAGGTTTAAACCACATATAATCCCAGCTTTTTGGTGAAGAAGCACACTGTGTCTTAATGTTTTCAACAGCACTATGCATATTTCAGTCTAAAACCGCACAGTTCACAGAACTTCTTGAATTTCTTATGTTGATGTAAGTTGAACTGTCTTCTAAGAATGTAATAATAATAATAATAAAAACAATGGTATTCTATATTTGTCACAGTACTGTATCCGATAGTTGTTCTTTTCTTTATCAAGTCTTTAAAACAACATTTTAAACAGCACTCATTCCTGAAGTTGTTATAAACAGCACTATATTTGTTTGTAGTTGTTATTAACCAGTGTACTGGTGTTTAATAAAACTGTTGTGAAGCACACTGTTGTATACATTGTGAAACCCATATGGTATCCTATAGTCTATGTCCCAATGTTTTTTTTTTCATAAAGTTTGATACATTAGAACAGTCCCAAATCACAAGGTACTGTGTGAGGTAGAATCAGGACTGGCTGATGAGGTTCGCCCCACTAATCTTTCCATATCTTTACAATGCTGCCTGGGGCCAGGTTCTGGGGTATATGTGAATGTAAGACCGGTGGCATATATTACACCATCTGTTCGTACTAATGATACTGGCGCCTACAATAGAAAACATAATATGAGTTATTAAATAATTTGAAAGCAAAAATTGACTTTTAACATAACATCTTGACATCTAAGATGTTTTTCTTTTATTAAATGATTAGAGTTTCAATAAAATGCACTACTAATTTGAAAACAATGTTGTTTTTTCTACTATTTAACAAAAAGATATTGAAAGTATATCAGATCTGAAAACACCCTGTAACGATTCAAATTTCATAACGAAAATGTGAAAACACAAAAGAAATTTGTTTTCTTAAAATACAGGTAATATTAATTAGAACTCCTCTTTCTACTTACTTGTAAGGGTTGTCGCACCCACTTCCACCCTGCGCGGAAAGCTGAAATATCTGGTACCACACATAACATACTGTCTTCTGCCCTATTTTTAAAAAACATAAATCATTAATGTTCATTTCATTTTCCTCCAGAACACATCCTAATTATTAGTTCAATCGACATTAACAGCTTTCAGTGTTATTTTTTAACAATTACTGGTGATGGGAATAATTAATGAACTGCTGGAGATTGCAGTCATAATCCAGAGGTTTTACAAGCAAACACTGATGACCCACCATTGTTATTATCATGCATTTGATTTGTGTACATGTTTCTGTTAATAGAAAATTATAACATGACCGTAATTTCTATTACTGTCCTAAACCGTGTAATGAAATGGGGTTCAATGTCCTAATGTACTGCACCGACTGGACTAATGAAGACGGGCATATACCTTACAGTGCTATGAGGGGAATTTGGTCCACTCCGGACTGTCTACTTTATATTTTGAATTTCAACTGTCAAGGGATCTTTAAGTGCACACCAATGTGAACACAAAACTTAATTTTTTCGTACCATCCGAATGACTAGACAATATCCTTGTCAGGATCTCTGTCCAGCACTACGACAAGGGAAAACTTTCTCGGCCAACACCAGAAGAAAACCTAATACCTCCTAGTTAGTGAACCAGTGTCTTGTCGAGCCACAACGCCCCCCCTTAAACTGTGATAAAATTGGGGTATCACTTATCGTGATTAGGAGATTGAGGGAAGGGTCACATATCTGGATCTATGACAGGTCTGTTTTTATTTGTTTATAGAGTAAGAAATATATTTATATGTAATTACCTAAACATGGTTTCTGCTTCTACATCACCAAACCACACTTTTAACGAAGGATTAAAATTTTCACCATTAAGTTCCAACATAGCCACATCACCTCCTCCATTTAACTAGAAAAATACAAGAAATCTATCAACCTTGTACAACTAACTGTATCATCTCTAAAATTATGTGACCAGTCAAATGTTATTTTAGGCCTCAGACTTCATCATCCATTATTGCCTACACCATAAGCTAAGTCTGATGGCCAACAATCCAAATCTAATTTATCTTTCCAGATTCAAGTCATGAACAAACAATTTTCTGAATAAGATTTAACAGAAGGCTGCTATACAGTACCAGTACTCTATTACTGATTGGTTAAATGAGTAAAATTTTGAAAACATAATCTTTGACAGCTACCCACCACTTATAGCATAGAAAAATTCAAATGTAAATGAATCTGGATGCAGATTAAAATCTGTAGGATTCTGCTTCAGGAAAGAATCAAACATACTTTAAGTTTCTTGTATTTACTAACACGACTGCATATGATTATATGAATAACTCAATACAAATTGCCTTTTGAGATATAACTTCATCATGGACTGTGTTTGGTCAAAACAAAATGCCCCTTTAAAAGAGTTTTATACATACATGTAATGTTAATTTGATAATTATGTAATTACTCTACAATTATGTTAATTGTAAAATATAACTCACATGTAAGCTATTTACTACTGGAACTGGTGTTAAGGAATTTTTCACAGGACCCATTCCTTCGTAAAAGGTATATTCTGCTTTATCAGTACTAATAATAGTCCATGAAGCACCATCATTGATCATCTCTTTATTAGGTTCTTTTGGACAAGGTGTGGCCTAAAAATACATACATTATTACATTTATACCTACATCAAAATACTATTGAACTAGAAAACTAAACAGAGCTGTTTATTTATCTAAAAGATATAAAGTCCTATCTCAATAATGTATTCAAAGGCCCACAAGTTTGATCAGGTATAACGAAAAAACCCTACAATATAACACAACTCAAATTACACATACTGTTGGAGAATATCTAAAGGTGTGAAAAAAGAAAATAAAGACACCCACTTTAAATCAAATTTCATCGACCTCTTATATGTAACCAATTCATTCATTGTATGATACATTTTAATATATTAGGTAAGCTTATAGACCGAGTCCAATTCTGGTCATTATCAAATTCTTATTATTTTTATGAGACCAAACCTCAAAGCTTTATACCTGAACTAACATTTAAAATATTATTATACTAGGTTTGGAGAATCTATGTTGTCTCTTTAAATAAAGGTTATGTTATATTTCAGGATTAACACAAGATAATTGAGTATAAATAACACTGCAACAGAATCAAAAAAATAAAAACCCCAACAAAATAAGAATTATAGAATGGTTACTCTAAAATACTTATAGTAATACTCTATTTTGAAATGAATCAACTCTTTTAAATATTGCACTGCAAAAATATGTCATATCTTAAGAACAATAGCACCGCCTTATTGTTTGGTATGCTATAATAAGCTAGGTTTCAGTATTAAGTCAATTTCTGCATGAATCCCGCCTGAGCGAAGTCCCTGCACATGATTTTCAAAAGCTTAATTTAAAAAGTGTATTCTTAAAGTGGTTGGAGAACAGACTGTGCAAATGAAAATACCTAGCCTTCATGAGTGTCATAGTTAAGTCAGAGTAGTGGATAAATAAATTCATATTATTTATAATAAAAACTTACCTGAAACTGGATAATTCTCTCCTGAGAAAGACAGAGGTACATGCGTTCAGTATCTTTCAGATAAAATGCACATTTATGTAATTGGGACACCGGGTCATCAGCATCTAATAATGCTGTCTGTTTATCAACTTTACGTATAACCTACAAACAAAATAAATCATAATCCGCCATTGTTCTTAATTATCAAAACAAATTATGTTCTAAATATTAATCAATAGTGGGGGGGGGGGGGTGATAACTGAATAAACCAATCATCTATGGTTAAGACAGATTCGCAACACCTCTTCCAAATTCATTATTTAAACATGTAGAGTGTGAATAAAATTAATTATGAAAGCATTTTTTTTGTGACTTACCAATCGAGGTAGTGCCATGCCAGTTACAGAACAAACTAATTTGACTGTGCTGCCATAGTGAATATAGCCATCTCTTACAGTAAATTCTTCTGATTCCCCTTCATTATCATCCACTAAAAAATATATGATCATCAAAATAAACATCAATCCTATAGGCTGATACATATATAGAGTACAACACCTAAATTAAGGTGAGCAAAAATTTGTATGTTAAATGTGACCTGTTACAAGTCACATTAATTTCAATACAGGTACACATTTTTGTTCTCTAAACTAAAACGAGCATTTATGTAAACTGCTCTAAAGTCGTATTTTTTTCTTGACATTAATTTCTTGTACGGTAATATTACTTGTCTAACAGTATATAATATTACTTGTCTTAGAGAATATAATATTACTTGTATTACAGTATATAATATTTCTTGCCTTACAGTATATAATATAACTTGTCTTGGAGCATATACTAATATTACTTGTATATACGTCATATGAGAGTATGTAATATATCTCGCTTTGAATTCTATTATAACTGTACAAAACACAATATTTTACACTGAATTGTACACTTGGTTTCAAATTGCTTATATAGGTACAATAAAAAAAATGTATTGTCACACTTAAATAAATAATAACAGTTGTCTATTTTATACTTACATAAATGAATGGTAAATGCACCCCACTGTGTTGAGCTAGCATGGAAGTTACATTTTCCATTATAGCTTTCTACATGTAAGTAGCGGGTACTAACAGTTTGAGAACGTAAACGGTTGAACAAAGCCACTTTGGTCCCAGAAGCTATGCACACTGCAAAGACAAAAAGATAAAAATATTTAACGTTTGATTTAAGGGTTCAATTATTCAGATTCTTGTCATTGAGTCGACTGGCGTAGTTTCGAATCCCCGGTTGTACGTGACAAGGAGTAGGGTCGCCTGTCCAACCTCGAGGGGTTTCTCCGGGTCCTCCGGTTTCCTCCCACTGCTAAAGACCCCTATGCGCAAGCGAATTATTGAAATTAAAGTTAAACCATATGTTAGTCCCGAAATGACCTTGTTTGTGTCGAGTGGACGTTAAACCCCATTTCTCTCTCTATTCAAATTCTTCGAATATATAAAACTGTAATGGTAATTTCCACATACACCACAGGTCAATTCTGTATGTTGATTAATGTTCCATCTTGGGATTCAGCTGTGTTTTATACCATGGTGGATTATACCTGTGCATTATACATTTTATAATGCTTGAAGACAGGTACAGTATGTTGCAGTTGGTGTTATAACAATTGTAAATTGATAATGATAAGTTTTAAATATTTTGAAAATTTGCCGAAAAACCTGAGGCTGTTTATTTCGATATACCTTTAAATCTTTGGTACGGTATAATATTAATGTTGCAAACATTCCTTTTTTAATAAACAGGTTATGTTACCTTAAAATGTTTGGTGTATTTTTCTGTTAAAAATAAGAGGTTGTAATTTAGGGTATTTTTCCAATAATTTTCTGCCCCCCCCCCCCTGCACCCAGTCATTACTCGCTAGCTGTCACAATTATAGTCCTAGGGGATACTCTCAATTTTAATATGCTATTATGAGCCTTTATGTCATAATAAATTACAAAATGATAAATTATACATCAAGTAATTATCATAGATGATTGTAACAGAATAAACTATCTTATACAGGAATTTTACTGTCTCTTATTGTCAGATAAGCATCATAAATCATATAGGATGAAATTGTTGTATTATTTAAAAGTGACATAATTAAGTGAAAGAAATGAAAAATATTGGGGTAAAAAATAGAAATGATCTAGTCTAATCATTTTTAAGATCATCAATCATCATAAAGATGTAATAGTAATTTATGATCTTAAAAAAACCTGGATGGAAGGATATATTGAGCACATTTCAATATCACTTCCTTAACTTCATTTGATCAACCAAGGTAAAATTTACTTACATTCTGCATTTTTTAAAGACTGCTTTTTCTTGGAAGGTTTTGATATCACTTTTATCCTTTTTCCCAGAAATAAGCCAATGTCTTGTCCGTTGCCATAAAACATTTTCACAGACAACATAAAATGTTTTCTTTTGTCTGAGTCTGATATGTACAAAGTTTTGGCAGCACAGTAATCCTGTAAATATGATTTATGATATAATCAGAACATGTCGCAAATGTTTAATATGGGTAAAAAAAATAAAAAATAAACTATATTCAATTAGAAGTTAATCTCTCTCCCTAAGTACTATCGAGTGGTTATTTCCAATAAAAGTATGGCAAATTTGGTAAATGGAAAGCATAGATGACCAATCTTATTAGAAAAATACTGGATTACCCGAAACACACTTATGGGGCAAGCACTGGGCAAAAATGTCAGCTAGCTTGACTGAGGGAGAGGTTGTTATTTCTTGATAAAATGGTTATGTGGTTTTGGGATCATTGAGGGGTGTCAATGTACAAAAGAAGGTGGAAAAGGAAGCAGACAGAAAATAATCAAAAATTTACTTAGGTCTCAATATGGGGAAATATGTCACGGTATCACTAACTGGCAACCTGACTGTTGCTGCTAGCTTGAATGAGGGAGCAGTTATTATTTCTTGATCAAATTGTTAGGCAGTTTTGAGAACATTGAGGTGTGTCAAGGTACGAAAGACTCTGCAATTAAAGGGTGGAAAAGGATGAGTTTACTTAATCCTCAATATGTATGGTTAATGGACAGTACGTAATGAAAATACATTCTGACAAATGGACCCTCCCTCAATGAAGTAACAAACATGGCTTCTAACGACAGTTTATTTATAGCTTGGAGGATCTCCACACAAATGCCAAGTTTTGAGCAGGATTTGAAGCAAATTTTGATAGATTAATTAGTTTAAATATGTTTTTAGTCCAAATATATTAACAAATCACACGGTTTGTACATGGGAAAGTATCTTTAAGTTGTACATAGGACCAAAATAAAAAATACATGTGTTTACAGTTATCTGACCGATCCTAATTTTTAAAGCCAAAATCACTGAGCCTTCATTTTTGTCTCATTTTCCAGGCCCTATAGCTTGGCCTTGGCGTGATTTTCTCTAAGACAAATTCCAACACTGAAATTTTGTTATCATTTTCAAGAACCATCATCAGTAATTAAGTTAGAATTTCTAGAAAATAGATAATACAAACCCCACCAAAAAAAAAAAAAATGTATATTTTCTGACCGCCCCTATTTTTTGCTGCCAAGTAACTGTCAACACAGGTATTTTTATTAGCCTAATTAATACCTGTTACTTAATAATTATGTCCTCGTCTGTTTATTTTTTCAGATTTAAATTTCTGCTCAAATTTCAAACATTAAACTTATGATTTTTATAACATTTACTAGATGCAATTTTACTGGTTTTTTTCTTACTTTATTATGCAATTTAGCAATATTTAGTAAAATAGGCTGAAATCATCACTATCCATGTGCGGGGTGCCAAAAGGGTCTTGGTCCACAGGCGCTGCATACAATATTAACCTACCTTGTCTTCTAAGTGAAGTTGTACCATTTCTTGATCTGAATTACCTATACCCATAAAAGCACAGACTTGGGCTTCTTCTTTCGTACAACCTTCACCTTCCATTTGCTCGTGTTTTCTCTTCCATCCCTTCCCAAATAAATATATACACGGAGGTGGACAGAAAAACCTGACAAAATAAAGATCCAAGTAAAAAAATATTTGTGGTCAACTGAGTAAACTTTAAAGGATGTATGGCTATATTCTTTGGAACCTTAATATAGACAAAAATGGGTCTAAAACTGTTAAAGCAAATATTAATGTAAAGTGATTTATATCTTATTTCTAAAATTTAAATTGTAATTCCTAATTAATTTTGTTCGGTGAAATACGTAAAAAGTCCAAATTGAACGGCAGTCACTTTTGCCTGCCTAGTCATTCTACATGTTTTTAATTATTATTTTGCTGTTTATGAATTATTCATTACGAATTATTTTTGCATTGTCTTGTGGGATATGTTTTTCTTTGTTCATTACAAATGGTGTCCCACCCAAAACCATAGAAATACATGATTCATGTACTTATTTTAAAATGTTTTTTATGTCTTAAATATTGGATATTAGACTCACACATTTAGAGGTCAATATTGATTGAAATGGACTAATATTGAATTTTAATTCATGTTTTTAATTTTTAATATTATGGAAAATATTGAGTTTGAGGTTGAACAAAAGAAAGTAATTTAAAATAATGCCCAACCTTGATTCTTTTTTACAAATAGAATATCAAATCTGCTTACCTTTTTTCATTCCCATAGGATTTTTGAGCGACTTTAGCATGGAGAATTACTAATATTTGATCGCTTCTGTCTCGTAAATATTTTCGCATTGCTTCTCTGTAAAGAAAATGACGAAGACAAAATATTATCAAATAACTGTATTTGTAGAGTAAACTAAATTTAGCGTTACCTGCAATCAATAAAAGTAGATCTGTCAAAATAAAATAATTAAAATTTGTCTTTTTCAGCTCTTAAATTTTAAAATACATTGATCTTAAAGATACATTATGTAAGATTTAGATAAAGAACTAGCCATTCTTGCTATAATAGTTCGAAAGTAGATGATGTAAAATGAATAATTTGAAAATTTCATTCAAATTACTCTATTACAAGCGAAGATATTAGCCTTTGAAGGTTTGACAGACGTGTGCAATAATTTCAACCACCGTACTGGTTGATCGAAGCTAAATCTCGGTCCTCCATATTTGATTAAATCAAAGTATCGCGATATAAACTTACCTTGTTAATCTCTGATCTTTTCTTAAGCTGAAAATAAATGAATTATTGTAATTAATACAATAAAGATATTTCTATTATGTAGCTATAGTATCAACAATGTAATCAATACTGACTGGTTCAGATGGCCTATTTATCCATGACAATATATAATGAACATAAAAATTTATATATCAGTAAGACTGGGATCAAAGCATATCTCATTGTTTCTTGACGGATAAATAAATTTTGAAAGTAGCCTGCTTAGGAATACATGTATTAGCTTTGCAACAATGTGCTCCTTCACCACTGATGTCTAAACATAGTCAACAATTATTAATATTTTTGGACTTGATTATTTTTAACTTTCTAATTATGTTCCAAAATTTCAGTCAATCTAACTCTTATGAAAGTCTGACTAACGATATTCACAGGAATGGGTGTGATCAGAGTTGTTGCTCTCCAAGTCATAATTCAGTTTAGTTTTATTTAAATATAATATCACTAGATTCTTATCGAAGGGGCATTATGGAAGATTAGATAAAGAGCTGGCAGTTCTCACTATAATAGTTAAAACCTAGATAATGTTCCACTCGAGATATTGGCGATTGAATTTTAGGCCTAGCCTCGATCATCATTACTAAAGTCGGTACAATAAAAAACATAGTCTCGATTAACCATTTTTGGATTTAATCATCAATGAGTGCTGAGCAGCAAATCGGATTCAAATCCAGTGAAAATTCAATGCATAAGATGGCATCGAAAGTTGATTACAGTCTTTTTATGTTAATAAATGCCTAATTAATAGTTTATATAACTGTTTACTGTTTTTATTTTTTTTTTATGACCATTACGATTAAAGTTGTCTGTTTTTACCAAATTTTTGGCCTGTTTTAATTTAAAGCCGCTAAAATATTTTAATCAATAGAATGCAAGCTGACAGATTACCTTCCATTGATATTTTGATTTGTTAAATTTTTCCTGGGCTAAGTTAAGAAAAATTTGATATTTGCTGAAAAATGCAAATGATGCACTGAGGCCCCAAGACATCTAGCTTGGACAGAAATAATTAGTTGTTTGCAAAATGATCCATTTGATGTAAATGGCCGGATTTTCTATATCATTATTTATGAATTTTTATCAATATTCATTCAGAAAACATAGAAAAACTGTACCACTAATAAAATATGTCAAACTAAAAACCCTTGGAGAGCAAGAAAAGAACATCCATTTCGTAATATTGTGTCTTTGTATTTTGTGGCAAGAAAAACATGTTTCTATAATATTCAATGGAAAATATACTATCCCATTTGGATTATATCAATTGTATATTGCAAGGTTAAGTACAGTTTGATTTCACCTACAACTTTACTTATATACCATATCTATGTTACCGTGTCATTAAGGGTAATTCATATTTCATATGTGGATTTAAAAACTCTAAATGTACAATGAGAACAATATACATGTAAATGTTTATGAATGGTTATATATAATATAGATTCGTTATTATAAAAACTCACATAAAAGTCGTATAACTAATGTGTTTCAGATTACACGCCCTATGTATATGAATTACTTTTGCTAGCTCAGACAGTGCACCAACACCTATTCATAACCATACGTACTAAGCTTTGAAATGGAACTATGCAGTTCAGTTGGGGGGATTACATCCATGTTTTATTTATTTTTAAGAAGAAAGGCCCATCAAAACAATATTATGCTGTTAAAATCTGTTAGCATTGCGTCCATATTAGCTTTACACTTGTTGCAAGTATTAATTTGAACAGTATACTGAATTAAGGAATGTTGGGTCAATTGGATGTTTGGCAATTACAATATATTATTTTATTTGTATGCTTGATACTATATATAATATAGTGATTGTTATCCATAGACTTAGAACTGTGTTGTGGTTTTTTTTCAGAATTCAGAAAAGAATATAAAGAAATAAATTCAAGTTTAACTGTTCTGCTCCGACTGGGCTAATGAAGACCGGCATACGCAATACAGTGTGCTATAAGAAAAAGTTTGCCCAGGCAGCGGCACTATGGCCTACTCTTATAGCGAATAGGGATCTTTTACGTGCACACCCATGTGTATATGGAACCTCGGTTTTTCATCCCATCCGAACGATTAGACAGCTGTCCTTGTCAGGCCCTCCGTCCTTACCAACGGACAAGGGGAAACCACATTGGAAAATCCCAATGAACTTTTTCGGCCAATGCAGGGATTGAACACGCGACCTCCAGGCTAGTGAGTCAGCGTCTTACCCTATTAGCCACCATGGCTCCAAAAGAATATAACCAGTTGTACTTTCATTCAATTCACAAAGTTTCAACCAATTCATGCTGTGTTCATTCTCATATCGAACATGAATGGTTATATATAATTGTCAGTGAAACATTCCTTTGTTTTTCTTATCCTACTCTTTTTGTTTTTGCACAAAATCTCAGTAACAGAAACTGACTACAAATACTAGGGTTTACTTATTGGTAAAAAAAATCTTTTATATTACGCAATTTAAAATTTTAACTAAATATAAACCGTCTATGTGAATATACGTGTAAGTTTAGAATTTCAGTTATTCGGTCAGTGATATTTTCTCAACATAACATGTCTACATGAATATTATAGTGATGTAGTCAAGCGGAACAAAAGAGATTGACACTGTTTACCTTACACCACTCAATTAATATCATAATGGAGGGTAATTTAGGTGCATTAATTCACTGGAAATTGACTTGAACATTCAATATGTCTCTATTTCTCTCTCTCAGCATGTAAACCAGACAATTCAAAACTACCTTCAACTTTCAAAACTATTCTTAAATCCAAGTTTTATTCAAAGATAGAAAATGCAGCCATTTTCCCTATGGAAACTGGTAAAATATTGCATACAAGAGCAAATACTTAAAACTCTACTATCCTGTCTGGCAACAAAAATCCATGTCACCTTCCATTTTTAATGTCCACACAAATATTTACTATCAAATAATTTTTCATGGCTATTTAAAGTCATTTTTGGTATACGTCATTCGATGTCAGTTAAAAGTAATAGAATTAAATTTTTTTTTTTTGTCTCCAATATTTAAAATATTACAGGATACATTTTTCCAAACGTATTTACTGGGTCTTTATTTCCAATAAAAGTATGGCAAATTTGGTATATTTGGAAAGTATAGACACCCAATATTACTTGAAAAATACAGTATTACCCGGAAAACACTCATGGGGCAAGCACTGGGCAAAAATGTCAGGGTATCACTAACTGGCAACCCGACTGTTGTGTGTATCTTCACGGAGGGAGCAGTTGTTATTTTTTTATCAAATGGTTGGGCGGTTTTGGGAACATTGAGGGGTGTCAACGTACAAAAGACTCTGCAATTAAACGGTGGAAAAGGAAGTTGACAGAAAATAATTAAGAATTTATGATATAATTAGAACATGTTGGAAATAGTTTAATATGGGTAAAAAAAAAATAAAAAAAAATACAAACTATATTCAATTAAAAGTCAAACTCTCTCCTTTAGTACTATTAAAGATACACATACATTGTACCAAAAGTATTTATCGGGTGGTTATTTCCAATAAAAGTATGGAGATTTGGTATATATATATGGAAAGCATAGACGCCCAATCTTACTAGAAAAATACTGGATTACCCGAAAAACACCCACGGGGCAAGCACTGGGCAAAAATGTCAGTGTATCACTAAATGGCAATCCGATTGCTAGCTTGACTGAGGGAGAGGTTGTTATTTCTTAACAAAATAGTTAGGTGGTTTTGGGAACACTGAGGGGTGCTAATGTACAAAAGACGGTGGAAAAGGAAGCTGACAGAAAATAATTACGAATTAAGGTCTCAATATGTATGGTAAATGGACAGTAAGGAATGAAAAATAAATTCTCGGCGAATACAAAGTTTTGAGAGGGATTTGAAGTAAATTTTTTAAAGATTAATTAGTTTGAATATGTTTTTAGTCCAAATGTATCATCAAATCATAGTTTGTACTTGGGAAAGTACCTTTAATTCAATGAAATCAACTAATATTCTAATGTGTACACAGAACTTTGGTTTTTTGAATGACTATACATTGTCCCACCCTGCACCACTGACAAGGGGGAACGATGTCGGAAAATCATGATGAACTTTCTTGGCAAATGTCTTACTTACTGAGCATAGGAGTGAGAGAAACAGAGTGAACTGAATCAAATCTGTGACTACATGTAAATTAATGACTCTGCTTATAATATTGCAGTAGTTGAGCCACGTAGTATTCATGGCAATTATGAAGTTTTAACATCTAAGTTGTGTTTTCTACATTACAGATGCGTGTGGGCAAAATATCTTTAGTTTACGAATAAAAATATTCTCATAATGTAATTTGAGTGAAATAAACACAACATAAGATTGATAAAGAAAAGCAATTATCATAATATCTAATTTTTCACAGCTAATATGTACTCAAATTTACCCTTCAATTAAGATAATCAACCAAAATATCAACAGTGTATAATCTGTCAGCACGTTTAAGGTGGAACTGGGTTGTTTATATAGTCTACAGAGAATGTTGACTGTTGTGAAATGTTCAATTCATCATATCATTGGATATACTGAACGGAAATAAACTATTTTTGGACTAATATTTGCTTTAGAGATTTAACTTTCACAGTGTGTAGTCTGCAAGGGATTAAAACATCCCTTAATTGATGATAAGCAGCTTTAATGTACATGTAAAATAAATAAAAAAAAACCAACTCACCTATGATGAGACTGTTCATAACTTGGAACTCTTAATCCGGATCCGTCTGACGGGTGTCGCATGGGTGGAGAGGGGGTAGGTAATGGGCTAGGTGGGGCTTGCATGGGGGGACCAATAGTACTGATACTGAGGGGACTGGTAGTGGACATAGGAACAAGGTCTCCATTAAGTTTGTCAGGAGGTGTGAGTGAACCCGTAAATAAATGTGAAGTTGCATCTGAAAAAACACCAAATAGGACATAATTATCAAATGTTTTTTTACACCCGATCTTACTTAAGTTGAAATCCTACTTTTTTTTAATATCAAAAGAAATGAAATGGGGTTTAACATTAACATCTTACTGTTCTACAAATATCAAAAGCAATGCATGTATCAATAACATAATTTTGTACAAGTTTGAATAATAATGACATGATATAAAACAAAAGAAATGTCCTACTGTTCTCTGCACAAACTAGGCTAAAGATGACAGGAATAAAAAGCTTTGCACTTTTTAACACTTGCCAGAGTTCATGCATCGATCAGGGTTTTTCCAAGATAAGATGTCAAACACCTTTCATGTATTCAAGAACAAAAGAGGGTATATGTTTGTATAAAAATGCATTTATTGGAAGTGGCCTATTGCATATTTCTAAAAGTTAGAAATTCAAAATCATTATAGCGTGAAGCATACAGCCTTGAAAATGCAATGAGAGAATCCATATTCCCTATCTAAGTTGTCAAACTAGAACTTCATTCTGGACACCCGCTAGGATTTGAGTCCATTTAATATTGGTAAGATCCTCACCTCACCTACAATGTTAGTCGTCCCTTTTGTTATAGACCCTAAACTGTTGTGTTAACAGATAAATCATTTTATTGTTATTAACAAAAGTTAATACCCAACCGGCAAGTATCATAACAATAAATTTCTTAACAAACAATACGATAATTGACATTCTTTGCGTTATTTTTGTTGTATAAATGAATATTTAATTTTGTACTGTTATTTTAGGCTATGCAATAAATATGTTTACATTATCATTATACTATTCTAGATAAAATGAACGAAAATTGGGCTTAATCATAAAAACAATTTTTTGATAAGACAGTTATCTAATCTACATGTATTGATGCAACATTCCTTCAAGAAGTATTTTCTTTGATTCAACATTCCTTCAATGAGTATTTTTGTAAATCTTTTGTTTTATAGGAGTAGAACAGTAGGGTGTTTATCCCCATTTCATTTATTTTACGTCATGTCATTTATTATTCAAACTTGTACAAAATTATGTTATTGATCGAATCTTTTTTAACAGGACAGCATAATGGAACCTACAATCGTATTGGAATATGTTGCAATACAGCCAAATGTATTACGATAATTATTGCAATATATTTCAAAATCAAAAATTCAAGAGAATATCTCTATTAGTGATGGTGGCACACCAAATAATTTATCCAAGGGTTCATTGTTTAATTTAATGAATTAAATGACAGAAAGTATGGAATATAGAAAACATAAGAATGACCATATTGATACACCAGATTTTGCATTGCGACTAGTACTTTGGTGGATCCGTATTGCACTACATGTATCTATATCAAATTTTTTGACAGCCCTATTTTTAACATAAAAGTACCAATTGATTTTCTTCATTAGCCCAGTCAGTGCAGAAAAAACATAAAGATAAACCCCATTTTACTTATAAAAATAATTGAAAACTTGTAACTTGTATGTTTTAGTTGCAAGTTTACATTTATTTTAAGTCTAAAGAACTTGGACAGATTAGTTTGTGTGATGTAGGTAAATGCACCCAAAGTATGTTTATTAATTCATGTAGACATTAAAAACATTTATCACTTAAATTGTAATGCTGAATGTTTTAAGTTCACTAGCTCAAGTTTATCGCAATTTGACATGTTGAGACATCAAACATGATTATTGAAACCTAATGGTGTTGAAAAGATAAATCAGATAAAGAGGGCAAGAAATCACTTAATTTCAAACATCCGATTCCATCCATTATCTATTGGTGAGAAGAAAACCATGTGAAGTTATGGCAAATCAATGAGACAGAATTACAGAACAGGAATCAAAAACTAGTCGCAGCATGTCGGTAATTCTCATGGGAATTTTACCCAGTGCCAAATTCTATCAAAGATTTCTTCAAAATGTGGACATTTTCCCATGCATTTTTATTCAATAATTGCTTGTTTTGATAATTGATAAAAATCTACCACTATGGTTGAAAATGGCGGTCGATAAAATATGTCACGACTCTCAAGACTAATCAATTGGAAATATATTCCATAGTTATTTACTTATCAAAGACTACAACATACAGCAATAATACACGAAAGATTGGTAAAAATAAGTAACATATGATCTATATGATACGTGGTAGAGATACCACACCCCTACCTAAACTAGAAAAACAATAACAATATACCAATAAACCGTCGACAACCCAGCTGTCTGAACAACCATATGGTAGAGAAAATCGTTACAAATATCACTCATTACCTTCTATCATAAAATGGCTAAAATCATCGTATGCATACTCGGCAACGCTATGAGACATCATGATCCCTGGGCCACAATGTCCAAAAATATTCTGAAACCGTTTGGTAGACTATCTCAATTTTTGCTGTCAATATTTTCCAGGGAATTCGATTTTTCCAATGACTAAGTTATCTGAAAAGGGCCATGCATGGTATAGAGCGCTTATCAGCTATTGATAAGAGATGTCCCATCTGCAAGACTCCAAGATTTTCCCACACTTCTTAAGCAATGTTCTGTGAATACATTGTCCCGGCCTGTCTGCTAATTAAACAGTGTCTATGTCTGTTTTGCTACTGGGGCTTGTAACATGAATAAGTAAAATAAATTGTAACCAGTATTTGTTCATCGTGGTGACTGTTCTTTTTAGTCTGACGTCTTAAATAACAAGTGTTTTTCTTTGCTAAAGTTATGATTTCTACATGATTAATACTGAAGGTAATTATTGGTAATCAATAAGTTGACAATGTAAACAATTACTGACAGTTTAATGTTGTAATACATTTAATCATCTGTGAAGTATTGATGTTCTTTAGAATTTCAAAGAAAATTTTTATCATTTGATTTTCAATGATGGAATGAAAGGGATTTTAGTTAAAATGTCTTGTTAGTGTTTTACTTTTCACTATCATTTTGATATCTAATGGTAATTTTTATTTCTAATAAACACTGGAGTTTTTGATAGCAAATAGTAATTTTTATTTCTTTTGAACACAGCAGAAATTTTGTCTGGATAATAGCCTTTGTACCTACTCTTTTTCTTCAAATTCTAGCTGCCAAAGGACCTTCCAAGTGCACTGCCAATTTGTACAAAAGACCAAGATTTTCCATCCCATCTAAACAACTAGACACGGTTTTCATGTCAGCCTTGAAAAATTGACTAGTTTTATTTTTTCTCAGGAGAAATAAATATTGGAAATAATTTATTGTGCGTACGTGTCTATTGGCTCTTTATTAATTAATAAAATAAATATATAGGCCTACAATTATTCTAATTCTGTTGTAATTAGTGTCAATTGTCAACTATGACAAATCTATTCTGGCTTGTAATTAGTCTTTGATATTTATATAATGTATTTCTTTAAGATTATATTTGCTATTAAGAGTAATTTAAAGCCCTTTTATCGAATATCTGAACTAGCCTTCCCAACAACTTAAATTGATTGATTGTCAAGTCTTTGTATATAACTTTATACAAGCTATTAACACACAAACACCATTAAGCACATATACTTATGTCCAATGAATAGAGAATTGTAAATTTGTTGATAAGCACCCGCCCCAAACACTTTTTCTAAAACAGAAAAATTTGAAATTGGTCATTTTACCATGTGATTGATCCGGAATGCCTACACGCACACCACTGTGTCTATACTGTGATTGGGATTGTCTATCATCGGTTTCGTACTGATTTTCACTTTCACTCAATCCATTGATGGATATACGTCCATTTGATAAGTCCACAGGATTTTCAACCCCTGCTTGAGCCATGTGGCCATTTATGAGGTAGTGGACTGTATTTAAGTGTGGTGGCAGTTCATGGTTAGTTCTTTTAATTCCTCGACCTTGCTGGGAACTAACAAAGTTACCATTACTGTGTATGGCAAACTGTACTCCATGGTGTGTAAGTGCTGCTGTGTCCAAATTCAAACCATAATTGTCCTGAAAAATGCAACGAAAAAAATATTTTATGGGACAGGAAAATGTACTCTCGGTAACAATAAAACAAAACAATATTAGAAACATAACATTCTATACCACAAGTTGTATTTTCGCATTTCTTATTTTAGCGATCAATTGCAAATTGCTTCAAATTGTTTTTAACAATTTTTCATTTCATATAATGTAAAATATAAATGTTTCATTTCTTTTCAATTTGCCCCTAAATGTGAAACTAAAATCTGAATTCTAATATTCAAATACAGCAGGATATGAGCTAACCATCATGATCATTGTGAAGCCCCAAGCTGGTTTGGGGTGTCTAATTGTGTTTTAACATCTTCAACTGGCTCATGTGAAAGATTCTACAAAATGGTATTTTTAAAAGTTATTTGACTCTAATGCAATATTCCGATGAGGTAATAAAACTTTAAACAAACCATTATACCTTTTCTGATATCCAATATTCCAACAAGGTGATAAAAGTTTTTTAACAAGCCATAAAACACAATTTAATAACTTTCAGAAATCTTAGTGGACCAGTTCAATACCCACAAATTACCTCTATTTGACATTCAACTACCTGTGTTTAGTCCTTAATGTGTGGAAGTTTTTTAGTATTGAACAAGTCTATATACATAAGAAGACTTGGGTGTATTTGTAAAAACATAGACTATACCTCTATTTAACTCTATCTTCATTCAAACCAGTTAACACTACAATCAAATGTTAACCACTGCTACTATTCAAACAGAGGGGCCATAAAAATATGAAATCGGTCATGCAGATATTGTCAGTCGACAGTTAGATTTATCCTTCTTTTCATTACTGAATGACTTGAAAACTTTTAGAGAACAGAAGAGATTTTTATTTTTTTTGCCCACTCTCAAGAAGGGTCAGTAAGGGGTCAAGACTTCCTGGCACATACCAAACCCCCTCCCTTCACTTTGGTCAGTCATGCAAGAAATCACCAGGGCAAATCAGACAGTACTTATCAATGAGTATGTAAAAAATATGCAAAGGAGTGAGAAGCTAAATTAGCCAGCTACACTAACTGGTGAGAAAAGGCATGGGGGAAAAAACATGTAGGTCATGGACAGACATATATTCTCACAGCATTAGTTGACCTTTACCGACCTTTGACTCTGACCCCTCAACCCTGCTGCATTTGATCATGGGCTTTTTTTGCTGACACTGATATCCTTGACAGTCTCAATTCACAGACTTCAAAAAAAAAAACTGTACAAGTTTAAAATATGTCGGGATTAAAATTCAGATTTACCACTTGACTTTAAACATGTTGTATTTACTGATAAATTAAATATCTTTTTAAAATCCTTGTATTAACTGTACTTCATATATAAATATTCCCCTACTAAAGATTGACTTCAAGATTTTCTGATAAATAAAAAGAGAATGACACAAATATATATAACTTCAAAGGGAAATTTCTGAAAGGACTAAAATTCTTTGTACCATGGATTATAAATGTGCAACAAAGTGATCTTTTGATTTACGATAAAAAACTGATCCCCCATCTTGTATGCTTTTTAATTTAACAAATGTCTAAAATCAGAAATATATCAGTTCTACAATGATGATCTCTCAACTGAATCCAAAGGTTTGAGCAGATACCTCCATCCTGGAATTACACAAGCTTAAACCAGATGAACAATTAATCAATCCAACAATGATTTGTTCTGTTTTATTTTTTTAATTTCAAGTTTTGCTTTATTAAAATTAAAGTCTCTAATATGGTTGAGGGATTTTTAATCATTTGTAAACTACTGACTGGTACTATATTGTGAAAAATGTTGTTTTGGAAAAACCCTGCAAGTTAAGGCATAAACTCTCCTTCATTTGACAGATTGAGCTGAGCATGTTCAGATTGGTTAGTACAAACCTATATCCAAAATATACGTCACAATCTATTTTCGCTTTAGAAGCAAGTGCTATTATTTAGCCTCAATATTTTATTGCATTTCTTGAAGCTCTGTTTTAATAGTTCAAAGTATTATAACATATATAATATTCATAGATTTCTAAAATTAGTCCTAGTCTGGACATGCCTGAATAACTCCTTATACCATGTATTTCAATAAAAACATTTTTTGTTAGGCTTTACAAAAATCTTTGATCTATCTATACGAAATAATTATAAATTAATTCAAAATGCAGACGTCAGAAAAATTCAAACAATACATATTGTATTCTAGTATAACAATACATAGGCTTTGTATTATGCCAATCATTAGTAACGTTTGTTCTTTTCCAGACAAATTTAGTCACATTGTTGAATAATTATTGATTCCTGAAAACGGACAATGGTGGAAAACTGCACGACTAAAAGCAGGTACAAAATCATACTGAAGCTTCAAGTACATGTACCATCAATTCTATTTTTGTCCCAATCTGTTTTCTAATACATATTTTATTTTATTTTGCTTTATATTCCATATTTAATATTTTATGGGAGTCAATTTTTTTTAACACCTGACTAAGTTTTATCTTTGTTTTGTGTTCAGACTTATATATTGTAAATAAACAATTAAATTCAGTTTTTCCAAGACATGGTCGGTCCACTGATCTATTTATAAAGACACGTTAGTTTTGTGCATAACACAACTGATATCAGAGAACTAAACATCAGCCATTATCAATATTTAGATCTTGCATAGTGCAGAAAATCACAACCACTAAGACAAAACATAATAAAGATACAATTTTAATCAGAGTAGTTTTTTGGAAAATTGTAATTACCTGCAGCACTAAATCAATTCAAGTTTCCAGTTAAATATGGTTTCACACATTAGTAATTATTAGCATATCATATGAAATTAAGTATTCAATGAATAAAAGTTCAGACAATATTTTAAATTCTGTTCTTTTACTAAATAAACTATAATATTCATAATCTTTCACAGAGTTTTAAATTCTGTTCCTTTACTAAATAAACTATAATATTTCATGATCTTTCATAGAGTTTTAAATTCTGTTCTTTTATTAAACAATCTGATTAAAATACAGATCTACATTTCGTTTCATTTTTTTATACTTTGATGGCCTACACTAAAACGAAATTTTGAACTATAAAAACAAAACAAAATAGGATCTGTGTTTTAATCAGATTGTTTACTAAATAAACTATAATATTCATAATCTTTCACAGAGTTTTAAATTCTGTTCTTTTACTAAATAAACTATAATTTCATTTAAAAAAAAAAATATTCATGACCTTTCACAATGTAAAACATTATTATTAATTTTTTTTTTTAGAAAGTTCGAACTTATGTTTAATGAAGTGTTTTATCTATTATATATCTACCTAAAATGTATAATACATGACAAATAACAAACTCATGTGTTAGATAAAAGTCTCAATGTGTTAATATTTCATTTGTTCTATTGATCTGACACAATGATTATAGTTAAATACCAGACAAAACAAATCAGTGTTATTAACACTTTAATTGATAAGTAATTCAACTCTATCTGATCTGTAAAGTCACAATAATTATATATTATTCAAACTTCTCCATCGAATTAGGTTAAACAAATACACGTCACTAACTGACTTGAAAACTATCAACTATGACTTTGGTAGGAACTTAAGATATATCAAATGTACTGTACGCGATAATATTACTTGGATAATTAGATAAATGGAGTCATTCATCCTTTATTTGATCAGCCTGTTGAAGATCAATTTAGAGACTTACCCCTCTGATTAATACTATTTAACCGAGAAAAGACAAATGACCTCATTTTAAACAAAACAAGGCTTGTTTTCAAACTTAACTATATTTTCTGAGTGTTTGACCTCTACATTTATTCTCTAGTTAGGCCTACAATTTCCATTTCTTAATAACATTTGTGGCACTGTTTACAACTCATGATGTAAAATATTTAATGTTAATGACATATGTTACTTTCAAACTTAACTATATTTTCTGAGTGTTTGACCTCTACATTTATTCTCTAGTTAGGCCTACAATTTCCATTTCTTAATAACATTTGTGGCACTGTTTACAACTCATGATGTAAAATATTTAATGTTAATGACATATGTTACTTTCAAACTTAACTATATTTTCTTTCTGAGTGTTTGACCTCTCCATCTATTCCCTAGTTAGGCCTACAATTTCCATTTGTTAACAACATTTCTGGCACTGTTTACAACTCATGATGTAAAATATTTAATGTTAATGACATATGTTACTTTCATTGCCAATGTTTCCTGTTATTCAATATTTGGCCATAGTGTCACAAAAAGTCCCTGTCAGTCAAATATTAAAAACAACCACAGACCTAAACTGTGCCACAGGGATATTCTCGCCAAACGCCTATGATGAACTAATTAAATAATTTTTCTCTATTTATCCACATGAGTCTCCTTACTTCCATTTATTCTATAGTACTGTGCAATTAAGTTTACCTTTATATATTATTATCATTATGATTTAATCATTACCCATATTACATCATCACAAATATTATAATAATAATATCATTATTAATATATAGTTTACGCCAGCATTACCAGATTATACACACATTATTAAAAAAGTTGTTTAAGATTAATCACCTCAAGTATACGAAATGTACTAATTATTCCCACATATTAAGTTGTGTTATTCAAATCAAAAACACACTTTTATGGAATAACAATTACTATGGTTGTGTTATTCTTCGCATAAATTTAATTACCATTTATTGTATAACTGGTTACCATTCTGTATTATCTGTAATCCCTGCTACTTAATTTTCACTTAACCACTACTCAGTGGCTTCACTAATCATTAGTTGATTAGTTCCTCAGCAGATTATCACCCTTTTAAGCACATGATGGTTCAAATCTGTTGTTATAATTTTTTCTGTATATATTTGCCTTACAATTTTGTATTACTGTATTAGCTTGATAACATTGAGAGAATGCTCTTTGAAACATCGCTCAAATAAATAAGTAGTTGTTTTCTCCATAAGTATGTGTTATAGTTTAACCACATTCTAAATGAACAACAATTAATAAAACCTTTCAGTTAAAATAATATAGACCTATTAGATCTAATTGTAAAATCAGAAGATTTGGGACTAATATTTTTCTTCTATAACCTCCAAATATCACTAATCACTTTGAGGAATTCTCGATCAAACAGTGAGTTAGTTCAATTCCATGAACAATTACAACAGCACAATCGAAAGTTCCAAAATAAAAATAAGAAATATCAAAACCAACCATGACACTGGAAACACGCTAGAATGGTTTGGTGACCTCGCGGTTTACATCACATTAGTTATCGGAAATAAAAGAACCATGACTGAACTCATTCCTGTGTCAATCATTTGCAATTCTGTCACTCCTATGTGTATACATAAGACAAAATAGGAGCCTGATCTGAATATTCCAGTAAAATCTTGTTTCCATAATTCACATATGGAGTGCTGTTTCTGGTGGAATCATGAAAATATAGAGCTGCTTGATAACTACCGATATAATATTTAGTTTGCAATAACATTTCTAATCTAATCTATGAACATAATCTATCTGCATGTGAAATACGAACAGTTATACCGTTATAGTACCAAAACAATATCCTTCCTGGACTGAAACAATATCCTTCATTTTAATCAACCACAAAGAAATGAAAAATTAAAATCAAATTTTATTGATAGCAATGCTGAAAAATGTATTCTTATTTCAAAATTAGAATAGATTTAGAAATTTCTTAAGGTATAAATTTAACATAAATACGGTATAAAAACGTACAAGGGTTTTTATTCATGTGAATATAATAAGTCAAATTATGTTCACATACATATCTCAGATAAATACTTAGTGATAGAAATGTTTGGGCTATCAACCAAACTGAATAATACAACAATTTTTAACAGGTTTACTTCACACAAAATCATGTTATGCTTAAATAGTCAAGGGAAAAAAAAGTTTCTCACCATTTACCTAATTAGAGACTTTATCTGAAAAGCCACCAGAGATACTGTGTGAACTCATAAATGTAAAGAGTATCAAATGTTGCCCACTTTACACCAGTGGTGGTCATTTATAACTGGGTGTTATGGTTAAGTTTGGACCATACACCATCACAGATGGCCAAGGCATTCAAGAATAAAGCCAAGTGCTGTCAACAAGCCTGTTACAAATGTCACTAAATGGACAATTCCTATCATTTCACCTGTCCTATTAGAATACCAACAGTGGTTGGCATTCAAATTATAATGCATTATAAAGTCACTGGCTATAAATTAATAAAATGTTCTGACAACTGTGTCCGATTATGAATTTTTGGAGTTTCAACTTTAAGAATATTGTAAAAATTGAAGCAAACATACTTAGATATTGAGATATGTTGTGTTATTATCAAAGAGTACTTGAAAACAAGGATGTACATTATTTAGGTCATTCTGGGACTATCCTAACTTAAAAATTCACATGAAAGTGGATCTTTAATTAACAGTGGAGCAATCACAAGAGGTTGTGCAACCGACCCTACTTCTTTCCATGCAGACATGTGATATTGCGCTGATGACAATACAAGTAAATGTGATCTATCGCATGGGCGATACAGATGTACACTGTATGTCTTCTTTCAACCCAAAATCATTATTATATAACAGTTATATTATTGTTATTAATGGAATACATGTAATACTGAACAAAAATAATATAATCAACTTTTTATCAGATATTTCCATGTATTGTATGCTATTCAACATGTACACATGTATCACGGAAACAGATGGCTGTACCATTATAGGATATAATCTGGCCAATCACTTCCTTTCACTTACAAACCGGAGAATCTGTTACACAAGCAAACAATAGCATTTAAGGACAATTGACATGGCTGGTCCTTCTTAATGTAATGACACATTAAACCCATTGGCTAAAGACATTGAATCAAGCATCCTTTACACATTTTAACATATGGTATGGTCAAAATATCTAAGAGATCAGTACAAAATGTCAGTTTGATACCAACTTCCAAGTCACTGTCGTGGAAGAATCCTCCCCAAAGTAATACAATCATTCTCCATATATGCAGCTGGGGTGAAATGGAGAAATCCTAATAAAAATTAGAAGAGCTATGAAGTTTTAAAATGCACATGAATTTAAGCAAGTTCAACCGTACTATGAACCAGGAACTGAGATGATTTCATCGCAGCCATCTTGAAATTGTGAAGTCAACAAAAATCACAATCAATTGATGCCCAATTGTCCAAGGAGCAAATATGCCAAGTTTCATGTCAATCGTACATAAATTGGCAGATCCTTAGACTTTTTTCAAATAGTGTCTCCCCAACAAGATGAGCAGAGCTTGGTGACCAGTTCTTGGTTCAAAAATACAAAAATACATACATGTGGGGTGTGAGATATATGGGGATTAAGATCTCCAGAACCAGGTCAATTAGGGACAAACATTAATTGGTATCTGTAGATACATTGTAGTAAATAGTATAGCCTGTTTGAAGGGCTCTTGAGCAATGGGAGTCCAAAGAATTCTGATAAAACTAGAGAACCCGAAGAAAGCCCGCTAGGTTATGGAGACAACCCTATTTCTCTTCTACTGATGAACATATTTTTTGTGTGAGAGATCAAAAATTTCCAATTCTCGCTTTCAGACCATTTGTTCACCCACCATCCTTTAAGAATGGACAACAAAAAGCAATGGTTACAGACATAGCCTAATAACAGTTAAAAAAATTGAGGATAAAATAAAATCAATAATCAAAATGGTACTTCAAAAGTTTTTAAGAGCCACCTGCTAATGTTAGAACTGGTGTAAAACAGCATATGGTTTGTATTACAGATTCAACAAGTCCTCGCCAGGGGATATCAGCACCTCAAACACTATAACACTTGTCACAAGTTACTACTTAAATTAAATATCACGCACAAATAAAAAGGTCTCCAAATGTTATATTGATATAAGATATTATAAATTAAATCATAAAGTCCTACCCTGGGAAAACCTCTTAAGACTTGTTACAAAGCACTCAAATATCATATTTAATACTACATAAACAACTATCTTAATAATTATTTTTTTGTGTGTATTGATGGGTTTAGTTTTACACAATATTATGCCATAATTGTGTATTTTGGAATAACCACCACTTGTTTAGTTAGTGCAATAATCAATAAGGGTGTATTATTGTTACCCCCTTTATGAAAAATATTCAATATTTCACATTAATATATCACTGTTATACTTCACAGTTCAGATTATTATTCCATGAGTTAAAGAAGAAAAGCTCTAATAACTTAATATATTAATGACAAAGACATATACAATTTATTACAAGGTACACATTTGTACAAAATCTGAATATTTCCTTTTTCAATATTCCAATTTAAACCAAAATAAATGTAACCCAAAATGGAGTAAATGGCCTCAAAGGGTACCACATTTTTTTTTTTTAAAAATACATTGTACCTTTAATTAATATATTTATTAATATTACTTTTTTTTATTTTTGTACGAAAAAATTCTTAATTTTGCATTACTTATCAACTAAAATAATCAAAGGCAACAATTTATTATAACATACACATTTTTACAAAATTTGAAAACTAACCCAAAATGGAGGAAATGTGCTCAAAGGGTACAACATTCTTAATTTTTAATTAATTCTCAACTAAACTAATAAAGGCAACCAACTCCGTTCAGTTCAGAATTTAAAAAAAAATCTATCTTATTTGATTTTCATATGAGAAATTTGTCTTTCCATCTCTTCACAAAGAATGTAAATGGACTGAATTTCTCTGAAATGTCAACAGCCATATATTTGATTAACAAGTTAGAAACATTTATTGAAACATGGCAATCTGTTAATCATTGCTAAAATCACTGAGAAAACTTAGTATTTTGTTATCACAGGCCAACCACATACCTAGGTCGTTTAAACAAATGGACACACAGTAAAACTAATGATGACCAGCCGATTAAACAAAGGCCCTGTGAAGCGTGGGAACTTTTCTCACGCTCTTTACCGAGTCCCATTAAAACACCAAATACTAACAGTAAAATATCGCCTACTGAACTTGTCTCTTTGCCAAACAAAACAGAATTTATAAATTATTTCTTTAAAAATTACACTTGATTTCACTTGTTTTAATATGTATCGTTCGTGTTTTACTTACTTGAGAACCAAAGAGGTGATGTTCATTCATTGTACTGGCGAGAAACCACTATGCGTAAAACAAAATCCCACGGCAGTTACGCAGTACATTCGCGGGTGAAAACTATAGAGTTAAACGTTCCCAATTACAAAAAGCAAATTCTATACATATACAATCCAAATGTGTCAGTAGATCATATTATAACATATACATGCTGTGAGAAAAAAGTCACCACCCTTTACAAAGTTTCAAACATTAAGTAACACCGTCTTACTCGAGACTTTGAAATGAGCACTCGTGGGAAAATCTATTTGCATCTGACATCGTGAGAACAATGATGCTAGGCTCTTACAGTAATTGAACATAAACAAAACCCCAAGCAGTTACAAAATCTAGACGCGAACAGTGCCAGAGATAAATCTTAGCACTGCGAGAGAAAAATAAAACATTTGTTATAGTTACAAACGATGATGTCAATTAAATTCTATTAGCGCTTTAAAAATGGCTAGAAAATAAGCGCGGTTAAATTCAGGGGGAGGACAACTAAACAGCGAGTTTGGGACAAAGCCTATTGGTAGTTTCCAAATATGGTAAGCAGGTGTTCCCACGACCTACGGCAAGTGAGCCGACAGATGACTTGCTCCACTGAACTCAGACAAGGACCGTCGGGTGTCAGTCTTGAAAAATATCAATGCAGAGCCTCTTACACGAAATAATCGCAAACGAAGGTTCTGTCATAGCTTACATTTTATATCACAAGTTTATTAAAACATTAAAAAAATAACAAATCCAAATCGTCATGTTAACAAATATTAATATTATATATTAATATGATTATGAAATGGGCCCACTCACAAACTTTGAATTCCACGATAAACAGTTTATTACTAAAATATCTGAATAGTATAGTGAAAACTATCCAACAATAAAATCATATTTATTTTTAAGGACCTCTCAATTTGAACATTTCTATTTTTGACATAACCCCAAAAAAGAGATCGGTCGCGACCCCAAAATTTCCTTCTGACATTTACTGACATTCATAGCAACTGCACACTTCATTTATAATGAGCTCAATTTTGACACGCTTTTCCATATACCTATACCATTAATTCCATCAAATACGCATCTTCGTAATGTGCTGTCATTTTCAACTTACCTCTTGCTAACGGGAAAGAATACGTATCGGTGCTTGTAACTTTTCGAAGAAAATATATCACAATTTTCAATGAGACCCGTGAAGGAATTTGACCTCAAAAAACACTATTGTGAGTTTGCGTTATGCTCTTAATGCCTTCTGTCTACTAGACAATTGTCTTTTGCTATATTATTATAACGACACAACAAAAAGAAAACATTTCACAAACAACACTATAAAATCAAAGTTTAATCCTGTAGAAATCGCGAAATTCACCAAGATGGCGATCAAGACCTCTGCTCATGCGCTTGTTTTGGTGGGAGATATCCGGTTTGTAATAGAAGAGAAGACTGTATTATCCCCATCAAAACAATGTTAGATAAAATACGAAGTTTCTAAAGAATTTGAAATAGGATGGTGATGATATTTATTAGACATGGATCAAGAAACTGGCAGTGTCGTAAAGAAATCGCCACCACACGATTCTGCTGTTAATGTTGCAGAGAATTCAGGTACACACTAGTTTTAGTGAATTTGTTGAGTCAGATTCTTATTTGGATCTGACATCTGTTTGTTGTTGTCAGTTGATGCGATAGTAAAGTTTTATCTGAATGGATTTTCAACTGTTTGAAAAATCACTTAGTTTTAAGACGTTGTTATTGTCATATTTATTCATATTGTGTTCCTGTCTTTATTTGCACCTTTTGTGCAAAGAGTAAGATGTTACTTAAACCCCATTAAATTTCACCTTATGGACTATGGAGGCCTAACAGAATTGAATGTAAGTGCACTTCCAGGAGATAAATGGGAGATGGCTTTTCAGATTTCTTTCAAATTTTAAATATGATAGGGTCCGACAAGGAAAAATGTCTAGTCATTCTAAATGGGATGAAAAGCCAAGGTCATGTGTAGATCTATCGGTGAACTCATAATAAAGAACCCTTGTCGTTTAAAATTTGAAAAAGAGTATGCTACCGTGGAAACATCCTGCCAAATTCAATGACAGACCTTATGATACAGCACGCGTGCACTAACTATTCGCCCATCAAACCCGCCTATTATCTAAGAAGCCTATTGATTTTCAACAATTTCCAATAATTAGTGTCCTGGTTATGGCCGTTGATTTTTTTTTTAGTGTCTTGTGAATGCCCCTATAAATATGCGACAACATTTGTTGACTGCTTGAAAGACTTGGCTACTGTGGCATCTGTGGGTCTAAGTTTCTTTGCTTGCAACCTATCTTTTCATTTAAACAGAATGGTTTAAAAAATGTTTAGATTTGATTTTCTCAAATTTTCCAAGATTCTTATCAGTTAAATTCTGACTGTCTAACCACATAAATCAAAATAAAACAGATTTGGTTCTGTTGCGTGGCTTTGATTTACATTAATTGTGCCTCTGGTATCTGAAGCCATATCAATTATGGATCACTTGATTGACTGTTTCAGTAACTTTGATTACTGGTTCTCTTGTACGAGCCTGTTTTTAATGCTATAATGCATGAATATAATAAAAGGCTTGTTGACGGAATGCCATGAAATTGATTGAATTTACTACTCTGGGGATCAAAGATGATTGTGTCTAATCTATGGATAATTATAACCACATTTTACTTTTAGTTTGTTGTTGTTGTGTTTGAAGTGAAGCAAGCTAGGAATTTCTGATGATCGTCAAATAAGAGCGATCAAATCGAATAAAAAGAGGTTGATTCTTAATCTAAACTGGACAACATTCAATTCAGTTCAATCTTGATATGATCCAATTTTAAATAAATTTTGAAGGTTTCGATTGGAAACAAAAACTGTTAGGCACTCTCTGACCTGAAATGAAAAAATCAGAGTGGAAATGGTTGATTTTGACTAAATGAGTCTTTCGCCAAGATATCATTTGAATTAAGTTAAATATATGTTTTATAAACTGAGTCTGTTTCGGAAAATGTCCCAACATTCAGCATCATATGCAGATGGTATTTAAGTGTAAAATCTTTTGATGGGTCTCGGCATTTGTTTTCTTAATTAAATGTTAAATAATCAATTTTAGACGTGGATGAAGTAGTGAAAAATTAGATATTGCCTGAAAAATGCAAATGACAGCAGGAAAAATCTGTTTTTATAGAATCTGCTTGGGGCAGAACCAGGGAAGATAAAACACCTCAACTAAATTGAATAAATCATTTTGTGTGATTAATAAGAGTTTTAACAATTGACTTAATTTTAGAATCATTTTGTGTGATTAAGTGCAGTTTTAAAGTTTTAACATTGTGCTATAAAATATCTGACATCTATTGGCATTTTGTATGTAAATTGTTATGACTAGAAACCACATATAGAGATTAGAAATAATTGATTGTTTTGCTGGATTTGAGCGAATGCTTTGTGTAACCTAGTCATTGTTTTGTATATGGAAGACATGTATAATATATGTTTGATGTCTGATTGACATTACTTAAAATAGATATTACTATTACCTACATGTAACCTTGATGATTGATGTACTGGGGTTACATACATGTCATAAGTCAAGCATAGGTCAACTGACCACCCTAATCTTTCCCTGATAGTAATAAAGCAAATAAAGTCTCATGAAAAAATGAGTGATTTTTTGGATATCCCCGATAAAATTGGAAAAAAAAACCCCAATGTGGTTTATGTGCTAGATCTGCAATTACTCTGTTGTATGTTTGGTTCTAGACTGTTTCCTCAAATAATGACTCCTTAAAATTTTGTGTCGGAATGGATATTATCAATCCTCTATATAAAGAGCTTATATCCTTTTGATTATTTTTATGTCCTCCACTTTTCGAAGAAAACAGGGAACTATTAATATGTGTCTGTCTATCTTCTTCCATCCGTCACACTTTTTGGGACACAATAACTCTCCTTCTAATTGAGCTATAATGTTCAAACTTGGGGTAGGTGTTTATTAGGTGAATGCCTTGATGGAGTTCGAAGATGAGCATTTTCTGCTTAGGGTAAGCAGAGATAAGCAATTTGATTGATTGATGCTTTGGGACATGATAACTTTATTTCTAATTAAGTGAGAGTGATGAAACTTGGTGTATAGTTTCATTTTATCAATACCTTGACTAATTTCGATAATGAGCATTTTCTGCTCAGGGTAAGCAGTGCGATAAGCAATTTGATTGGTTGAGGCTTTGGAACACAATAACTCTCCTTCTAATTGAGGTACAATGTTCAAACCTGGTGTAGGCATTCATTAACTGAATGTCTTGATAGAGTTTTCTGCTCAGGGTAAGCAGAGATAAGCAATTTGATTGGTTGAGACCATGGAACACGATAACTTTGGTTCTAATTGGGTGACGTGAAAGTGATAAAACTCTTGAGTATAGATTCATATCAATACCATGAGGATTTTCTGCTTAGGCTAAGTAGTGATAAGCAATTTGATTGGTCAAGACTTTGGAACATAAAAAACACTACCAGGTACCTCAACACCTTGATAGAGTGTGATCGAAGAAATTTTGTACTTAGGTAATCAGTTTGATTACTCAGTACTTTTGAAAAAGAAAAATGTGCTATTAATTAATGTGTCATCTATTTATTTTGGGATTTCGGCGAGGGACATCAGCCTCACTGTTGGCTTGTTCAATATTACAGTGCCTTACGACTGATGAAAACAATGTGTGTGAAATAGCTTTATTTAACGTCCGCTTCCACCGAAGTGATATCGCAGACAAGATGAAAACAGTGGAAGATTGCAACTTTTGTAGTATATCTTTTACTTTAAATACACATAAACTGATTTAATTAAATACTCTATACAAGCATTATATCTTTAACATTGATTTAATTACATACTCTACACCTTTTGATATGAATACACATGGACCGATTTAATCAAATACTCTATACAATTATGGCTTACACATCCAATATACACATAGTATATAGACTGATTTAATTATATGGTATACAATAAAATTTAAAAAAAGGTAAAATTGGTTTTAAACAGTAGTCAAATACAACGAGCAATAAATAAGTTTGGCAAGAGATTTATTTTCAATGTTCAATATACACATAGATAGACTGATAAAACAGTTAAAATATTAAACACCTTGAATATATATATATGGACTGATTTAATTATTTTGCACATTGAATGATTTAATTACACACTAAATATACCGTACATGGATTGATTTATTTATTCTCTACAACAGCAAGATATACACACATAGAATAATTGAACCAATTTTATATACACACTTACAATACACATGAAATTAGTTACAATATCTTGCTGACTGAATACTTACATAATATATCATTTATACACATCATGCTATAAATCTAGCACATCAAATACACATGGAACATGATTTAATTATAATGTATACCAATATCATTTACACACAGAATACAAATCAAATTAGTAACAAAATCTTGCTCACAGAGTACTTACATATACACACAGGATACACATGAGGCTATAAATCTAACACATTAAATACACATAGCATGGAATTAGTTGCAATATCTTACACACTGAATACACATGGACTGATCTAATTATTCTCTATATCAATATCATATGATACACAGTTTAGGCTATAATATCTAACACATTGAATATGCAAAGAATGAATTAATTATACCTTACACACATAATACACAGGAGGCTATAGAATCTAACACATTGAATACAGAGAATAATTTAATTATACAGTACACCAATATCATATACACCTATTGAATACACACATAACAAATTAATTACAATATCTACAACATATAGTACACAGACTGGTTTGATTATTATTCATTACACCAATATGAGATACATATATCTTAGAGAATACACAGTATACTAGATTGATTTACATGTACATACAAAGAATACACAAAGAGTATATTAGTTATAATATACATGAATTTATTTGATTAATTACTAGATTTCATGTAAAGTAAATTAAACTACAGGAAATATAAGAAATATAGGTTGGGATGGCCTAGTGGTCTAGAGTGTCGCACTTGAAGCTCTAGCTGGCCGGTCACTTCTAGCTTGTGGTTTCGATCCCTGGTGTGAGTGTATGTGGCTTGGAGATAGAGCGGCCTTCTCAACCTCGTGGGTTCACTCCGGGTACTCCAGTTAAAAAGGACAACTTGTCTGCGATATCACCCTCGATGGAAGTAGACGTTATACACTAATAGAAGAAGGAAAAAATGAAATATCTACTTAAGAGACTATGTAACCCTCTACATGTATACGTGTCAACAGATGTAGTTGGAGGTCGTGTCAGGGGTCATACAAGGGGCTTTTGACCCTATGACGTCAGACATTTGAATAACCAATCAACATTGATGTTTCTAGTAGGATACTCATAGTTCTGTGCATTGGCTAATCTATCACATCAACCAATACGTGCATTATATAAGAACTCTTCCAGATCCTATTGTAGTAAAGACAAGTAAAACGAATTTTTGAACTATAAAATAGGATATATGTTTTAATCAGATTGGTACGTGTTAGGGTGTTTATTGCTTCAGAACAGTTGTTTTCAAAATTTTGATAGCTTGTAACATTTTCTATAGGGATTTAGAATTCAATTTCTGATGCTGTTTGCAGTGAATTCAAAATGCAATCAACTGAAGTTTGTTCAACTTTCAGTTCTTATGTTGACAGTATTTGTACTTTAAATATATTTAATAAAGTATCTGTTCCCATTAAGAAGTCAAACCTCTGTGATTTGGGTCAAAATAAAATTATTGAGATAGATTGACCTCATTTATTATTTTGATTAGTTGTGGGATGGAGCAAGCTCTATGTATTAAAATTAATTTTTTGAAAGATTAAGTGAAAGTCATTTTGTTGACATAAAAAAGTTCAAGTCATTTAATATGTGTCAAGAATGAATTTCACATTAAGCTCAAAGATGAACTGATAAAGCCTTTGATACTTTGATGTCATATTATACTATAGCCAATTTCCAGGAAATCTGAGACATTTAAAACTCTGATTTTACATCAACAAGTTTTTTGACTTTAGATTAACAAATACAATCAGCGTGTAATTACCACATTTTATTTTGTGTTTCAGCAGAGAATGGTGAGCCACATAATTCAAATATCGCATGTAATTCAACTCAGGTAGCTCCCATCTCTTCTGGAAATACCCAAGATACTAAAGCTTCTGGAAGCGATACACAATCAGAAACACTAACTGATAACTCAACGTGTCAGGTGGGCAATATATCTGCATCAGCTATAGAAAATAAAGATGAAAAACTAAATGATTCGTCCAATTTAGTGCTAACAGATACAAATGAGGAAACCAACCAAGAATCTGATGGACAAATAAATATAGAGACTGCCCAGTCTGATACAGAAATCATTTCTGCCAAGCAACCTAAACTAGACGAGCTGTCACCTGATCAAGCTATTCCAGCAGACCTACCTTCAGTAAAGTCAGTGGATGAGTCTGAAAATGAAGTTAAAAGTGATACAGCTAGCGGTGGTGTCGAAAGTTCGAAGACAGAGAAATCAGAGAACGGACAAAATACGTATTATATAAAATGGATCAATTTTAATAATAACCAAGTGCCCATTATAACTCAGAATGAAAATGGTCCCTGTCCATTACTGGCCATTGTGAATGTTTTGTTATTGAAAGGAAGTTTAAAGCTACCCCAGATGATTGAAATGATAACAAGTGAACAACTTATGACATATTTAGGAGATTATATCTTTGAAAATAAACCTAAGGTGAGTTGAAACATCTTGTTTATTGTGTAGGCCTGCTCAAAACCCACCTAAAAATGTATACAGTTGTAAAAATGTGATTAAAAATGGAGGTCTTGGAGACTTACCATAAAAAGAAGTGTTATCACTTGCCCTCACTTAAACTTACTTGAATTTAAAACATAAGAGAGAAACCGTCCCCTTGCCTCATACCTTATTCAAATCAATGACTTAATTCATAACCTGTATACTTCTTAAGTTGTAATGCTTGCCTACTCACCTTCAATTAAAATCTATTGAGAGTGATTCTTTGGTCTCTATAGTATTTTCTTAAATTTAATGCAGTTGAAATTCAATGAAGAATAGTTTGAAAAGCTACTATGCAGGCAAAGAAATTTTTGATGTGAAGTTAGACACCTTCTCTTCAAAACACACCTAATTATTTGGGATTTGTGGAGCCTCAATAGTCAAGTGTTCAGGGCCTTGTTGAGGTATATAAAAATGATAATAATAATAATTTATTCGTACAAAATAAGTACAATTACAAAAGTATCAATACAAACATAAATCTGATGTTAATATATACATAATGTTAAATACAGTTTGTACAAAATTTATTAATTATATCATTTAAATTGTTACTGTTTTCTCTTAAAGATAGAAAATCTCTGACGGTGCCTGCCTTAATTTTATCATTCTCCGATTTTGAATTGATATCGATTTTATTTACTCTAGATAAAATTTTACTAAGAGACATATTAGTCAGTTCATATTTTGATAAACCATCTCTGTGACAAATATAATTGAAACTGTTACCCAGAGTTGACTGTCAGCCGTGTACAGCTAACTTAGCACAGATGTTTGTACATATTTTTTTACTATTGACAGTACTTTTGACAAACTTTAAAAACCTTTTATGAAGCTGTGCTTCAATAGAATAATCAGAACAGATTAGATTCAATAAATTACAGTATGGCCGTTGTGGTATATTCCATATTTTACGAATGGCTTTTCACTATGCACAAAAGAAAACAGCAATGCTTTTATGGGAGTAATTCCATAACTGACACCCATAAAGTGGCATACAATATGAATTATGGATGAGCAACTTTAAAATTCTTAAGTATTACATTTACTTTTGTCTGAAAATTGTGAATAAAAGATTCAATAATCTCAGAACTAAATACATTGCTGAGTGCTTTTCCGAAGTGTTTTTCGAAACTGACGTGTTCAATGAGTTTTATCATCAAGAAAAATATCTTTAATTACATCCTCATCTCAAGATTTAGGATTAAAAACAACTAACTTGCACATCTCTGGGTTAAAATTTACATTATATTCATTTGAAAAACTACTTGCAATATCTATAATCCCAGCCTACTTAGGCGTTATGAAAGTTACATCATCTGCATACGCTATAGCCCCTATGTAAACAGTCCCAATCTTACAACCAGAGTCATAGGCGTACGAGCAGCCGCCCCCCCATTTTGGGCACCAAATGCTGGGAAAATTTGGGCACACAATTGTATTTTGTAAAAGTTGTATAAAAAAAGATATTGTGTTCTTGAATGTGTCCACTTTAACAGCGAATTTATTATTATTATGTAACATACTAAGAACCCAACTACATTTTTTGGGCACCAACCACCACCGCCTCCCCAGTTAAAAATTTCCCCGTACGCCTATGACCAGAGTTGCTACTCTTACACCTATTTACCGTCTATGTAGATGGTAAATAAAATGGGCGACAAAACCCAGAACCAGAAGTGGTTTAAACTAGTTCATTATACTGTTCTGAAAGAATCTTCTCATATCTTCTATGAACGGAGGCTCAGTGAGTAAGACAAGACGTTGGCTCGCTAACCTGGAGGTCTTGTGTTTGATCCCAGTGTTGGCTGAGAAAGTTCATCACGATTTTCCGTGCATAGTTCCCTCTTGTCAGTGGTGCAGGATTGAGGGCCTGGCAAGGGACAATGTGTAGTCGTTTGGATGGGACAGAAAACCAAAATATTGGCACGTTCGTAAAAGAACCCTGGACAACTGGAATTCGATATAAGAGTAGACTGTAGCACCACTGTCTGGGCAAAATGTCCCTCATATATCACTGTATGGGGTATGCCCATCTTCATTAACCCAGACAGAGCAGATAAGTAGGACGTTTAAACTTTATTTCATTTTTTTGTTTTCTACACAATGGTAAAAGAATAAACACTATAATTGCCCAGGTTGCATGGCATAAAGTTTTGTTTTTTCTTGACCGGCACATTTTTATTATAGAATCTGTCAGAAAATATTCAAGCCAACTATGAGCAGAATATGCAGGATGGTATTAATATTATGTGTAAACTACAAACTGGACTGGATGTTAATGTGAAATTTAATGGGTAAGTTCTTTGGCACCTAGAAACGGACACAAATTGATTGCAATGCATATAATAATTGTAATATGAATGTATATAAACTAATTTACATTCAACTGTTTCTGTTTTTACTGTAATTTCTAATCAGTTATGTTCGGTGAAATATGCGAAGAGTCCAAATTGAATGACAGTCTTTGGCATCTGGTTATTCCAGTTATTCTAGTATTCTCTGGTGGGACATGTTTAGCCTCTTCATCGAGTTGCTTATTACAAATGGCGCCCAAATGCATTCTGGCACGTGCCAGTTTTAAAATTTCATTTTGTCTTAAATATTGGATATCAGAAGCCCAATTTTTTATGGTAAGATAGCAAAATCAATGTTGATTTAAATTGACCAATAAGTCGCGTTTGCAATGTTCAAGACTGTGGATGATATTGAGTTAGAGACTTACTTCCTTTAACATGTTCAGTGTAATTGGTACATGTACTTGGAAAGTTGGATGGTCTTGAGTTATGATACTACAGACATTTTCATCTGTAACTGCTACAAATGTACGTTTGATTGCACAGTTGTTTCAATCTCTACACAGCGCGACTCAAAAATCTCTGTTAAAGGTAATCAAATTATCTAAACATTGATAATTTTATGCAAATGAGAATAAATAGGGGTACTGTGTAACAATTGCAGGGGTATCAAAAAATGCTAATTTGCCCGTATATGCCGGACGTGTCTTACGTTATTTTCCAAACGTCTGTGTAGGAATATGCACAATCGGACTTCAGGATATGGTGAATAATATTAAATTTCCAAAATTATTTGATTGTACTGGGTATATAACTATTACTATCCCGTTTATCGTTGATAATTTACTGGATTGATTAGGTAATTAAGTGATCAACGTATTTATTGTGTTATACCATCTATACACCTACCTTGATTAACTATTTAATCTGCCTTGATTGGCTGACTTAATCCTTTGTTGGACAATTCATCAATCCAATCCTGAACAGAAGTCATTGCTTTTCCTTTGTCGGACTATGTATCAATCCAATAAGAGTGATTATAAACTTAAACTATGTGATTAACTCATAGTTTTTCATAATCCTTTCAAAAATTTACTTTAATGTTTTGGATTTGTTTTCCTTTCTTTGGAATATCCCCAACTGTGTGAGTTTTTTTGGGTTTTTTTTTTTAACTTTCCAAGCTTATTGGACATTGATATTGTATTTGTTTTTATTTTTTTTAAGTGTGGACGATTTTGAATATACTCCAGAATGTATTATTTTTGATCTGCTAGAAATTCCTTTATATCATGGTTGGTTGGTAGATCCACAAGATTCAAAGTGTGTAGAGGCCATTGGTAAACTGAGTTATAATCAGGTAGTAGAAAAAATCATCACTCAGAAAAGCTCAGACAAGGAAGAAGATGCCCGAGAAGGTATTATTAGTTTAGTTTATCAATAAGAATGAATCCTGTCGTTTCTTGACAGTCTCCAATATTTATTTGAATTTATATAAACCTAAATGTACCTAATTGGGAGGGACTGCATGGCAGAATGAAAGACAAAAAGTATACTTATTGAAGTACTTGTTAGTCTAAAATCGAACAAATCAGTCATTCTAATTAAGTTATTAGCATTTGAAGTTTATATTAGTTTCTATTGATTTCAAACACCCTTTTTTTGCATTTTATTAGTTGAAAAAGAAAAACAAAAAGACATGTAATCTTTTCTAAGCTGTCTCATTTTTTGTAGATTTCTTGTAATGGTTTAGCAATACTAGTTTGTTTTTGGGATGGGCTTTTTTTTTTAGAATGTCCCAGTCAGTTTTAAAAAAAGAGCTAAATCCTGGATAATTTCAGCAAATAATTATTAAAACATAGATGTTTTCTTGATTCAGTACTAGGATAATTTGTCAATTATTTCTTGATAGTACATGTATGTAATACATATTAGGATTCAGTACTAGGATAATTTGTCAATTATTTCTTGATAAGACCTTCTCTGTCGGCTTTCATATCACATAAGATTTGGTTAGTTGCAGCAAAACATTGTTTAACGTCTGAAAACTTGACCGGGACTTATAAAAAAGGCTATTAATTTACAATTTTAGATGTGGTTACTTCCCTTGAATTACAGGTTATGTCAGTATTTCTTCAACATTTTTTTGTCTTTTTCAAAGCACACAACAGAAGTATTTGTCAGTCAGTTGACTGAGGAGGGAGCAGTGAAGTGTGATTTCAAGGAAATTTGAAAGTGATAGGTTTTGTAGACCATGTGCCTCACCTGCAGCAATATTTAAAGCCCTTGTTTCTCTTCAACTCATTTGACTACATTTCCCCAAATTCTTACTCTTGTGTATGGTACAAAATTTCCCCAATTTCTTACTCTTGTCCTTGTGTATGGTACTACATTTCCCTAATTTCTAACTTCTGTCTTTGTGTGTGGTACTGCATTTCCCCAATTTCTTACTCGTCTTTGTGTATGGTACAACATTTCCCTAATTTCTAACTTCTGTCTTTGTGTATGGTACTACATTTCTCCAATTTCTTACTTGTCTTTGTGTATGGTACTACATTTCCCCAAATGCTAACTCTTGTCCTTGTGTATGGTACTACATTTCCCCAAGCGCTAACTCTTGTCCTTGTGTATGATACTATAATAATTTGAAATTAATGTTTGTCTGTTTGTAGCACTTGTAGCTGAACAGTTTTTAGAACGATCTGCTTCTCAACTCACGTATCATGGTATATGTGAACTATGTCATACAGTTAAAGATAATCAACTCTGTGTCTTCTTCAGAAATAATCATTTTACAACTTTATTTAAGCACAATGTAAGTATCTAATTGTTAGACTTATTTCTTGAAAAATAGACTATTCTTATAGTGTTGCCTTACCCATGCTCTATCCTTTACAGTTCATCAGGATTTTTTGAGATGGTTTCCCTTTGTCAGTGACGCAGCATGAAGGGTCTGACAAGGACAACTTTCAAGTCATTCAGATGGGACGGAAAACCGAGGTCCCGTGTATACATTGGCGTGCATGTAAAAGATCTTTGGCAGTTGGAATTCGATATAAGAGTAGGCCATAGTGTTGCTGCCCGGACAAAATTTCCCTTATAGCACACTGTATGGCATATGCCCGTCTTCATTAGCCCAGTTGGAACAGAATAGTAGGACGTTAAACCCCATTTCATTTTCATTTCTATCCTTTCCAGCAATCTGATTAAAACACAGATTCTGATTTATTTAATTTTTTTATAGTTCAAAATTGTTTTTATTTTATTAGTCTTTACAACATTGCAATCTTTAAGGACTTTTAAAGAAATTGCTTTCTCTTTGATATAAGACATGTAGTCAATTGAAAACCTGTTTTATTCATTGAAATATATCTGGGATTTCCCCTTTAAGAGCAGACCTTTGGGTTTTTATTTCTCATATATTTGTTTTTATTTAACAGTTTACATCAGTGTAAAAGTTCAGGGAAATATTTTATGAATTGTATTGAGTATATTTCAAGACATTTTGATATCATAAAATACCAATTTGCTCGCTTCTGACTTACGCATGTTTGTCATTACCAACTGGCTATAATAATATGCAGTGACTGTTAAAGATACTTTCCAACAAAAGTATTTATTGGGTGGTTATTTCCAATAGAAGTATGGCAATTTTGGTATATATGCAAAGTAGAAACATCCAATCTTACTAGTAAAATATTGGATTCCCTGAAAAAAAACCCACATGACAAAAATGTAAGGGTTTACCTAAATGGCAACCCGACAATTAGGCATGTCTGCTCAAGTGACGTCAAGGGTTGCAAGTGAAAATTGACTGATCTCTCAGCGTTAGTGAGTGCTTGATGTATATGTTGATAAACTTAATGGCAAACTTAAGCGTACAAGAGTTTCTGAGATAAAAAACATGGAAAAAGATGCGGCCAGTGGATAATCCGAGAATTTAATTAGGCTTCGATATTTATGATAAATGGACAGAGATTAAAGACAACATTGTCTTGTATATGCAATGAATTCTTCTCTGGCTTCACACCTGTTGCTAGGTACTGTGTCAGCCAAGTCATGTGACACAAACATAACCTCTTTTGATAAATTTTTTATAGATGGGGGGGGTATTCCCTCATGAAAACCAAGTTTTGAGAAGGATGTTGGTCATATTCATTGTATTTTATGTGTTAATATGTTATCTGTGGTAACAATCTGTAATCCGTCTATAAACCCAGTGTAACCGATTTTGTGTTTCACTGTTGACACAGTAAGTCAAAACTTAAACTAAGATCACTGAAGAAGCTGAATTCCGCTTTATCTTTCAAACCAAAATTTATTGGTATTTTGTTTGGGACATCTCTAGTTGAAATAATCCAATTCAATACTTTATTTTTATTCAAATCAAAGAGATTTAGCTCCATTAAGATGTGAATCAAGACTGCTACAAATGCAGCATAATATTGCTGTTATATTTTTGTGACTTATCCTTCCAAAATGAAATATATTTAACGGAAACATCCTCAATTGATAATGTTGTGAGAGCCATTTAACGGAAACATCCTCTATTTATAATGTTATGAGAGCCATTTCATTGAAACATCCTCAATTGATAATGTTGTGAGAGCCCTTTAATTTTCTACAAAATAAACATTGCATGTAATATTTGATATGTAATAGCTTTGAAGTTATTGGGAGGTAAACAAATTTGATGTAGAAAAGGTTAACAGATTTGGGGTAGAAAAAAAATCTAGATTGTCACTTCCCTTCAAGATATAAGATGATTGTGAAATGTCAGGCTCTTGTGGTTACAAAGATTTAGATCATTAGTATGTGTTTAAAAAGTCTTAAAGGCTAATAAATGGTATCAATTTAATACTGAAATTACCAGTAGGGCCTACTAATCTTTATACTTGTCACATCATGAGAGTTACCCCCCTTGCATCTTACCTCAAGAGGTGTGAAACGATCATTTGTGCGCAAAGTTATATGATAATTGCAGGTGGAGATAAATAATAAGGGGAGACAATTCTTTAAAGACTATTTTATTCCTCTTATACACAAAACTAAGATAATCGGTTACTATGTTCTCAAGAACTATGTTCTCAAGAAACATGTCATTATTCTTGACATACAAAAAGACAAAAACTTCAATGTTCTTGAGAATTTCAACTTAAACACCAGCTTAATCAATATAGATAATTAAGATACAATATAGGTTATAACTAATATAACTTAAGCAAAATATTGGAAATTTACATCTTTAAATTTTATTTTAGAAAATATTTAGTGTGTTGACTGTCACTGTCGTACAACTTCTTAATGGAGACATGTGCTACGCTAATTCTTGTCATCACTCTATGGTCAGTTTTTTGAGATACTGTCTGTTATGTCAACATTGCATTACATGGACTACAGGAAGTTGTATTTTAGGCTATAATTAGGTATCCAATTAGTTGTTAAAACAAAAATATTAGTTGTAGAGTGTTGTTTATGAAATATTGTAATAGCTAAAATACTTTTTACATTGACTGGGCAAGTACGTAAAAATAAACAGTCAAAATAGAAAATAGAACAAAATTACAGGATGTCAGAAAAATAGAACAGTTTTACAATATTTTATTTAAAATTATTGCAACATATAAAGAAAGATTAACTTTAAACTTCTAGTTGTGGAGTGATTACAAACTGTTGGATAAAATTGTATTTTCATTTTAAAAGCAAAGAGGCCTAAACAGTGTCTTTGTTATAGGGATGGTAGGGTGTAAAATATGGAAACTGTGATTGTAACAGTTTCCATTGTGTAATGTTATAGGAATAAGTCACATGCATTGTGCTTGGGGCAGGGTATTTTTACTCTCTTCAGTAAAACCTATCAATAGATTTGTCTGTGAGCGGGATTTGGTCTAATATTGGGTTTGTGTAGCTAATTTGAAATTGTTTCAACAGTGTAGCCTACATTCACTGTTTATTCTGTGCTATATTCATATATTGTCTTTCTCATAGCCATTTGACTGCAGTGTTATAATACAAATAGACTTCTGCCATAACATTAAATGAATGTGTACAACTTTTGACTGTTTAATAATTTACTCCTGAGAAGGAGATTTAAAAAAAAAAAAAAATAGGAAATTTTTGCTTAAAAAAACCACACACAGTAAAATTATAAATTTACTGGAGAAATCATAACATTGGGTGCTTTAACTTGGTGTAATCACTAACGTTTGCTTTTTTGACAAATAAAACATGATTAGGGTCAATGAGAAATTGCTTTGCAAGATGATTAAAGTAGACTACTATACATGTATTATTAAAAGTTTATATATGTTGTTCTCTAGTTTAGTAAACAAAATGATATAACAATATAAAAACATACAATAATAGTTCTATTATATAAACATTTTTTTCACAAAATTAAGATACTTTAAAATAAAAATAGGAATGAGATTAATGAAACTATAATGAATTATTTTTTTTTAATGATGAAATTGATGGTAGTAGAAACATGATAGGATGATTTTTAGCGATCAATTTACAAAACATAAATAACCCTATAGTATCATTAATTTATTTTATTGTAAAAATGTCTTTATAAGATTTGATGTATAAGTAAAAACAGTAGAGGTGAGACTCCAAAATATGTAACAGTGGTGGCAGCTGATTCTGGACCACTTTTATCTTCTGAAAGTGAATTATCATTTGTTTTTGGAGGAATGTTGATATCTTCATTTACTTGTACTGAAAAAAAAGGAGATGATCTATCAATAAAAAAAGGGTCAATTCCGCTCAGTATATCCAATGATATGATGAATTGAATGTTTCACAACATTCAACATCCTCTGTAGACTATATAAACAACCCAGTTCCACCTTAAAGGTGCTGACAAATTATACACTCTTGATATTTTGGTTTGGTTCTCTTAATTAAAGGTGAAATTTGAGTACATGTTAGCCTGGATTGGGCTGTGCAAAAGATTAAATATTATCCAAACATTTAAGTACATGTTAGCATGGATTGAGCTGTGAAAAATTAAATATTATCCAAAAACTTTGACATTTGAGTACGTGTTAACGTGGATTGTGGAGTGAAAAATTAAATATTATCTAAAAACTTTGATAATTGTCTTTATTTCTTTATTGGCCTAAGCCAACAGGTTAAACAGGTTATGATCCAAACAAGACAGTGCCACCTATAATCATCGCTACAATCAGTTATAGATCAATACTGGCTTTATGGCTAGACATAGAGTGTTTAATGATTGTCACCCCACTATGTAAATCAACATATAAGACTCAATGAAATCATCTATTTTAAGGTGAAACCATCCATTCAATGAGATATGGTCATTTTATGGAAGCCATAATAGTAGAATTGGTTAAGGTAATTCTTATTCACAGAATATGACCATAAGAGTAAATTAGTAAATTGTCTTTAGTAAATATATAGGACATAACAGAATGATAATTCCATGAAATTTATTTCGCAATATGAACACAAAACAGATCAGTAATTCCTGTAAAAGAATGCTTAGAGGAAATGCCACTTGCTGTCAAGATGTTTTTCCTTCCCCCTGCATATCAAAAAGAAATTTATGGAAGTATTGTGTTGACAAGTTGTTAAAATCCCTTCCTAGTGCTTTTAGGTACCGGTAATCAATAGTTAGAAAATTTTGGATAGGACTCATGTCCTTACAAAAGATATGACTCTGTCGTCATGTGACACAGTAAAGAATTATCAACTGTCTCGGTATGCTATGAATGACATCCAAGAATGCTTAAAGAATGTAAACATTTTGACTTCATCAATTTTTTAATTTTTTTGTTGAATTAAAACCGTAGTTAATCGGTTTATATTATCTATTTATAAATCAAATTTTTTAGCAAGTATTTTATTGAAATGTTAACAACACAAGTTGCCTTCAAAATTAAAAACTTGAACAGATATACTGCTAATAGATTTAATTATCATATCTAACTGTGAGCAATAGTGAAGTCTTATGTTCTCCACAAATCAAATACTGTAGTATTCTTTGAAATTTGAAGTAGAATTAACCTTTGACAAATTGAGGGGTTGGGTGATCAAGTGGTCCATCGCATGCACTTTAGATCATAAGTTCTATCATTGAGTCAAGTGGTGTGCTTTTTATGCTAAGCTTTATGCATAAAAAAGGAGTAGAGTCCCTGTTTTTTCTGGGTCCTTTGGTTTCCTCCCACTGCTGAAGACGCCTAAGCACAAGCAAATTACTTAAATAAAATTGTACCATATTAGTCCTGAAATGACCTTGTTTGTGTCGAGTGGATGTCTGTCCTCTCCCCTTTGACAAATTATAATTTTTAGAAAACGCAAGGTACACTTTGTTGATGTAAATGATTGTATTTATTATTTATTTACCTGGATTCACATAACCATGACTGGTTGAACAGCTATACGGTTCAGCAGAGTATGTGTCTTTGATAATTTTGAAAGCTGAAGTAGCAGTACCATTACAATTTCCAATTCTAGGATCCATACAGCTTACATAGTTGCGGAAGGCCCTGCAATCACAAGCAAATAAACAAACATTTTAACCATGGTGCTAAGACACAGTAAATATTGAGTCTTAAAGACGATGCTGGTTGCATGTAATTGCTAATCTGACAGTGTTGGCATATGCATCAAAACTTTTGAGTTTTGAATCTGTTAAAAAAAAAAAATATGCGGATAATTTGAGCGGAGGTATGGTAATCCCATGGTTTAAGGTTTTAGTGAAATTCTTATGACAGTCACAATGCTGAATTATTCTGAATATTTTATAGAGAAGTTTTGCACATGGCTAGGCATGTTTTTGCCAGCTTTGCCAGCTACTTGCAATATTCTTATGGGGTTTGGGGATTTTTGTTGCAAATTCTATCCACACATTTAGGCATCTTTATTCACAGATGGCTAAAAATTGTTTCAGTGTTATAGTTGCGTTGGAGAATGCAAGTAAAATGTCTTTAATTTAGAAATGGTGTGTATTTTTAGATGGTTTAAAGCTAGGATATTATTCATAGCATTGTTGTAATCTTTATAAATAAATATTGTTCGTGGGTTGAGTCACATAAAACTGTTAACAACAGACTGTTTTTTGCATGTTGACCATAACATTTTAAACTTTTCATTCCATTCCTGGTGTCATTTGTGTCATCAGATATGTCTTAAATTATATGTCTATTCTAGGCATATCATAGCCCAGTAGACCACAATGACCAATGACAAATTTTCATTACTTGGGGCTCGCTTACAGCTTATTATTAGAATAGTCTATAGTAGGAATTGGCACAGTCAGATGGTGGTAATACTGACCAGTAATGGAAGGGTTAAAGATACGTTGTATGAACAAACTTAATTCTCTGTCAATGATGTCTACTCTTATTTCAAATTCCAAGCGGAAGCAGACAGCAGTATCCTGAGAAAGTTTCTCTGACAACACCAGAATCGAACCAGAGATCTTGTGAGCAAGGGTCGTACTCACTGAGTGACTGTAGGTGAACTTAACTGAATTTTATTTCATTTGACAACATTGAAAAAGTGCAAAGCTTTTTTAAATACCCCCTCTACTTGTTTTAACTAGTCCGTTGATATTTATTTAACAGATGCAAAAATATTTTACCCTATGATTACATGTTACAATGCCATATTATTACCATATTTAAAAACCTAATATTTGAGTGTTTTATTATAACCCTTTAACACTTAGTACATGTAAATGTTGACCACAACACTGCCCCGAAAAAATAAAATAGTTCATACTGGTATATCCCTAGACAGCGTGAAGCTGTCCGATTCTACATCTCCCTTGATCCACCTTAAACTACATGAGTCATGTGAATAGATCCCTGGATTCAAGTGACTGACTGTTAGAGTTGCTCTAAGGAGCACTAGTTTTGGGTGCTCCAAGTGCTAAAAGGATAAATTTAAAAGCAAAACTATTTACATAACAAACAAAAATTTGTGATCTAATGCAATTTATCACCTGACATGTCTGCTTCTTCTTTTATTAAAATTACAAAAATCCATGTTTTTAGTTATTTTAGTTTGTATTGTGATTTCCTGACAAATGTACTGTTATATTTCTCGTCTTACGGTATATGTTCACTCTTAAAGATGTCGGTCAAAGAGCTGAATGAATTTGAATTTTTTGCGTACTTTCAACACAGACAGAAAACAATTGAGTTAAATATTTGATGGTTTGAAGAGATTTGTCAATTTGAACTATTTTAAAACCGTAAATGAAGTTGACCTCCATTACAATGAAGTAGTGTGAAAGGAACACAGAATCTATGGAATCTAAATTTTTTCTCTGGACAAAACATGACAAAAAATACGTACATGTGAGATTAGATTATATCTTTGTCATGCTTTTAGTTGCTTTTCAACAATGGGTGTATGTACATACATGTAATGATAAAGATTGGTGTTGGTTGTTTGAGAAATAATTTGATAGCATGATATTTGAAAAACTATAATTAATAATATTAGTATTAGCCTTATAAACCATGATCATTTTCATAATAATATTAATATATTATGTTAATAAAGTTTCCTTCAAGGTAATTATTGGAATGTCTATGATTGGTCAACTTTAACTAAGTATTGTTTTTTGCATGGATATATTGTCCCAATATTATGGTATTATTTACACAATACAAAGATTTGATTTTTATTTACATAAAGATTCATAATGCGACAAGCTTTATGAATTGCTTGGATGACTTAACTGCAGTGGGAATGTGTTTTATTGCCTGGCAATCAGATTTTCAATATTGTTGTAAACATTGTTGTAAATTGTTGTAATCAAATTCCAGCAAAGTAGGCATATATATTTTTTTTATTTTTTTTAATATCAATAATATCAAATAATTGAGAGAGAAAAAGGTAAAAATTTCATTTTTTCAGTATTGTTAGTAATTAGTAACCAAGATAACTATTTGTAGAATGTTTTATTAGTAAAAATTGAAATATCACCCAACACTGACAAGGATATTTATAAGTGAAGGATACTTGTTTTCCCCCATTTAGATACGTGTAATCCAGCCAAGCTAAACTGTTAATTTTGTGTGTAATTTGTTTGATCTGGGGTATTTTTGGTGTTTTTATTTCACGTTTTCTTGTTCAGATGCTATAGAACTAATGAGAATTGTCAACAAAAACGTAAAGTTTATTTAAAAAAAAAAAAAGAACTGCTTAACGTCCCAACATTTAGTGTGACAGTTGTAAATGTTATCTTGTGAAAAGCAGTCTGGACCTGTTACAGTTCTTTTTTTTAAAATTCCACGACCTGTGAAGGGAAAGTCAACTTTTGAAATCAACATTTTTGTGATTTAGTCCAGTAAACTAATTAGGTAATGATTTTCATTAGTCTGTAACAGAAATCAGTTGATAGAAATTTGAAATAATATGAAATGGATGAAAACCGAAGTTATGTAATGTTTGTCTGTTTATAGTGCCAACATTCAAAACTCGAAAAGTTCTAAAAAAGACCAATATTTTATTGCTTTTTAGAACACTTTAGTTAGCAGATTCTGTTATATTTATATTGGTAATAGTGTATGAATTTATGGTGTATATGTGAACCCATATACTATGAGCTATTTGTATGGAATAAAAAGCAGAATCTTGATCTGAAGGTATGGATAAAAACTCTGTGTGAATGCACTGATTCCATATAAAAAATGTCAGTTGGGTTGCTAGAGATATTGCACACTTTTTCTTATTTTATAATAACTGTTCACTGAGAATTATTTACAGAAATGTTCTTCACCATTCTGTCTATATTCAGATATTTTGAAATGGCTATATTATAATAATTTTTTTTAATCTTTAGTCTAAAGATGTCTTTAGATTAGTAATGCACATTAACTGCTAGTTTAATGTAATTTTTGATAATTTTCCTGTCTGCAATCTACAGAATAATCCAATGTCTAAAAAAACATACAAAGATTGCAGACGCAGTTGATAAAGGATTCTGTTCCTGTCAAAAACTATGTAAATCAAGTACTAGTTAGTCACAGTGGGACAGATGTCCATTCATCCATTACTTTTAAATGAGATTTCAAGATGCTCTTAAAACATCCTAGTTTTATTTTACGTGTATGTGTGAAGTAATTTAAGAATTGAAGCATTTCAAGTGCATTTTATCCTGGTCTAAAGTGGGATATGAATTTATCATCTTTTGAACATCCTCTTCAACAATCTTTTGAACAGTTGCTTTAAGTTTTTAACTACTTCAGTTTTTGATAATGTTACATTATAATGCACTGCATGCTCATTATTGTGCATATCTGCATTACCATTTGATTAAAACTGGAAGTTGTGAAACAAGATGAGATAGCTGCTCTTAATGATTTTAAATTAACTAAAATAAATTAGAGGTAAAATTGTTTTGCACTAATTAGCTCTGTGCTGTGAGATTAAAATCAGGTTAGAAATTTGTTGTTTGGTGTGGGCATAGAACTGTCTACAGTCTCATGCTGTTTTACAAACATCCTGTGTTTCTTGGAAGAATAACATATTTTCATTGCAAAAGTTTTGCAATGAATGGTTATGGTCTAATAAAAATCAAGCACAATTGACCCCAGTAACAGTTTATATTGGATCCATCCACAAATGCAAAAAACACATTTCCTTCCAAGAAATTGTCTAAAAAAGGGAATGGACTGAAAACTTGATATGGACCCTCCTGAGGCAGTACTCAAGAGTTCAGTGGAAGTGCCCAAGATACCACAAAAAGCGATCTGAGTTTGTGAAAATTATGTGCAAGACATGATGTTCCAGATATTCTGAGAAGGGCCCCTGCACATTTGCACATAGTTTCTTATTGATGTATTTGATACATTAAAACAACAAACATTTTATAAAGAGCTATATTTTAATTAAAATAAGGTGAAGAATTTTGAGTAAATTCTTAACATAAGTCTGAGAATGTTTTGTGAAATGGGTCCAGTACTCAAAATTCATCAAAGAACATTGGATGAATGCGGCAAAACTTTGTAAATACACGACAAAATCTCCTTGTAAAAAGTGTTACCAGTTGTTAGAGAAAGAGTACATAGTTTTTAATACATGATTGATTGCATTACTTACAAACATAGTTGTGTATAGTTTCCTTGGTTGCCAGATAGTGATGTACCACTGGCAGAAGATAGTTGTTCTCGTTGATCTTGACATGCTTGTAATGCATCATATACTGACTCCTCATCACAGCCTTCTACAACTAAAATCATACACGGATTAATAAAATTAATAACTTTTTTATTGACTAAAATAGTCTGACAGATAACATTGGATAACCAATTGTTGTAACATGCTATACAGATTGAGTGACAAAAAAGTTACCTTGTTAATCTTAGATGAGACATTTAGCATCCATTTCATTATTAAAAGTATACACTGAGTTCATTTTACTCAAAAAGGAAATCCACCATTTCCCCAGAATTTCAATTGATCACAAACTAACAAGTTTCAGAGACTTTTAGATTGAGTTAACATTTATTTCTTGAGATTATATGTTATTACACCTAAGTTTATAACTTGAGGGGAGTGTCATAAGTTTGTGCCATATTTCAATATATTTCTATGTGTTTTTTTCTTAACTGCTAGCAGACGGATCAATTATGTCTGTTTCCACTCTTACCATGTCTACACAATGGCTGTATTGTGTCAGCATCATGTTCTCTTGCCCCAGTCAACTGATTTTTTTTAAAAACCTTTTAAATTCCGTTTAAAATGCCATGGCATGGCATACCTCTGATGTAAATGAGTCACAGTGTTTGGTGTACAGAACAGTCATTGGTTTTCACAAGTTTGACCAAAAACTTCCACTTCACAAGATGGTGACGCTAAGTCAATAATTGTTTGTCAACATGTCATGTTCATTTGTCCACCTTTGTTACATACCATTATGCCAAACAATTTATATTATTGTACTTGCCATATTGATGGCATAATATTCCTAAGAGCTGTGATATTTTGTTTTTGCTCCTTTCAGATCAGCTGGTGTTACTTGCCTCCTAGCACTAGATGCTCCTTAATAGCCTCAATAATCCCCCCTCCTCTCCTAGGATCTTGAAGGAATTATCATTTAATTAGAATTCCTGTTGGTAAAACTAGACCAGGAAGGTCTAGTGAGACAGTGAAATTTTCTTAAAATAGCTTTTCTGCCACACTGACGAGGGGCCTTTGATGATTGGAATCAACTTAAAACCAATATATAGTTAATAATCTGTATATTTTGAGGCACTGAAATCACTATAATGTTGAATTATTATGAATCCAAGTAAAGGCCCCCAAGAAGGACCTTTGAGATTTTCAAAACTCTGTTCCCTCTTCTCATGGTTAAATCTGCAGGGTGGACAAGAAAATTTTGATGGACGAAATAAAGAGGTCTTGTGTACTGTACACATCGCTATTGCATGTAAAATATCTTTTGACTGTTCAAATTGTCGAGAAGTATTAAATGTTGCTACCTGGGCTGAATTCTTTTCTCTCACACTGCCCAAATGAATATCAAAAAATAAATAACATTTAAGTTAGTCTGAAAATAACCTTGTTAAGTCTTGGCAAGATGGAATGCTGTTGATATTGTAATGATATACATGGGAAAGTTATGTAAATTTTTTTATAAAAAAATTGTCCATTTTATATTTATGTAAAATTTTATTGTAGTTATTTATTTATGGCATTTAATTTTCTAGTTTAGGAGCATATATAATATATCATACATATTTGAAAGACAGTTTTATAGTACTGGTACTATATTAAGATATTTGAATTTCTATAATACTTCTAAAATACATTTCTAAAAAATGTTGTGTAAAAAAAAGGATCTTCGGGAATGCGAAAAAAATAGTATCTTTTTCATTCTAATTTTTTGTCTCCCACACACCTAGTATTTGTCTTACTCAGGTCATTAACTTCATGATAAATTGTTGTACATCCTTAATTGTAATTGGCTGTTTACTTATAAGTTGCTTATCTGAATCATAGCAGTTTTCAAACATATCTCTTATCTTTTGCGTAATGGATGCAAAATTATTTTAGATTTTTCCTTCAAGGAACCCAAATTGTTATTTTTCAAATTAAATGTGTTCTGAAGACATAATTCCTGAAAACTGTTGATTTATTTAGAGTGAATGGTGAATAAAACTGAAAGATTTTGTTGGTGTGAAAAGAAAAGAAAAAAGACTTTAAAATGAATTTTAAAATTTATGAATTAAAATGAATCATAAAAATTATGAATTAAAATGAATTTTAAAAATTATGAATTAAAATGAATTTTAAAAATTATGAATTAAATGAATTTTAGAAATTATGAATTAAAATAAATCTGAATTCTCACCTGTCAAAATCCATCCAAAGACAAGAATAGTTCCACTAAATACACGAAAAACTTCTGTAAGCTGCATTTTAAAGTCCTTTAGAAATGACAAGAAAAAAATATTCTCCTAAATAATCACATCCAATATATTCATATATAGATAGAATACAGGTTATTCTTACAATTCAATGTTTGCAAGCCTTCAAGTTTGGTGAAGAAAATACACTGATCTTCAATGAAAAGCTGGGTGCTTGTCTGGCAAGCCGTCTATTGACAAGATACACAACTGTCTTTCTGGAGGTCTGCTGTTTACTAGGGGCAGATAACTCTTCTCCATTGATTTTATGCACAGCAACAGATGTGCTGTTGAAATCCCTACCTGCTTTTAACCAGTCAAGAATGTCAAACTTGTACAAATGAGAAATCTTCTCATGTAATTGATAATTTAAAAGTTACTTATAAAAATTCAGATCATTTAAAGTTGAAATTCAATTAGTCTTCATTTTAAGAATGACTATATTTTAGGTACAAGAAAAAAAAAATGTAAGCTAGTTGAAAATTTGTGGCGGTTTGCCTATGTTAATATTTACTTCTATCAAAGCGACACACTGTCATCAACAAATATTTTTTCTTCAAAGAGCATGGAGAACAACATTTTTCTTCTGAAGCTAAATGATCGAATATAAATGTTTTCTTATTCTTTTTTAAATATTTTCTATTGCCGACTGTATTAATATTGGCGCGAACAAAAACTTGATAACATTAAGTCTAAACATTATATGTTTGTAATTGAAATAGATGGACAACCTATAATATTTCACGGGGTGTTGGATGGCCGAATAGTTAGCGTGTACGCATTGAATCATAAGTTTGTCATTGAGTCAACTGGCATGGTTTCGATTCCCCTGTTGTACGTGACGAGGAGTATGGTCACCAGTCAAACCTCATGGGTTTTCTCTGGGTCCTCCGGTGCTAAAGACCCCTGCGCAAGCGATTTATTGAAATAAAATTGAACTGTATGTTAGTCCCGAAATGACCTAGTTTTTGTTGAGTGAATGTTAAATCTTCTCTCATTTAACACCACCTCTTTTTCTCTTTAATAGTAATACATAATAACTGAAACCTTAATTGTGAAAATTAGCAGATCTAACCCTCCTCAAAAACTTTGCACTAGTTTGGAAAGTTAAGTTGACTATGGCATTTCAGGAGGTCTGCTTGAGATAGTGTTCCTGGCTTATTTATGGGTTTGAGGTTTCCACATGATTTCATACAAATTTTTCACCGCTAGAGTTTTATATAATGCATCTAAAACACATTTCTGATTTTTTCACATATGTATTATTCTATCTGCTGAGTGTTGGTATGTTTTTTTGCGTGTGCATTACATACCTAGGGAGTAGCATATTGATTTGATGTATTTTACCATCTGATGTACTTGATGCTTATACTGTTGTAGATATCATTACTCGCCATGCTATCAAGTATTTCATCTGTTTTATTAATTAGATTTAGTTTAATTTATAAGTGTTTTGGATACATAGGGTTCTGTCAAATTCACCCCCTGTTGTTTCTTAAATATGAAAGTGTTGGTACAAACAATGTTTTCTGACAAAAGTTAGCTGGTATGCGTTGGATTTCAACATGAAATTTGTCGGTTGAGCAATGTTCGCGAAATCAAACTTTTTTGATTTCATAAACATTTTTTGGCCAACAAATGTTCTTGTTGGTCTCGTTTCTGTTGAATTTCAATGAAGAGCAAAACATCCAATCAGTATTTCGCTAATGATCACGTGATACAGAAATAGCTGACGTCGCCATACACAGTGTTTAAGGTCATGAGACGAAGAGGCCTATTGATATATGGCCCTTGATGTTAAATGTTTTGTATGCTAGGGCAGAACTAGAAGCCAAACAAATTCTAATGATTTCTGATTATTATTTAAGGGGTTGCTACTCGTAATCCGATTTTAGTATGTTGTAAGTGTTTTCATTACTGACAAAAGAAAAAATATTTGACAACCCTTGTTTACTGCCTGGACGATGTAGCTTCTGTGGGCGTATGTATCGTTGCCGGGCAAGCTATCTTTATTTTTATGGTTAAATCATAGCAGCTGTTGAAAAGGTTGTAGTATTATCTATAAAGGAAAATCAAAAGTTGGTAGTTGAAAAAATTAAAATAAATTGGTTTCATTTAATAGATAAATAGATATAGCTATAATTTTATTAGCGTACAGCCATTGGCAAATTTATTTATAGATGATAAACTGTCAGTAAATTATTTTTGTGGTAAGCAGAAAAAAATGATGTTAAAGCAGTTTATTGTCCTTTTAGCATTCATATTTTCATCTTTTGATAATAAAAATACTATCTTAGATATCTAGCAGATGTCGATTCACTCATTGTTGAATTGAAAATTTTACTTCCAAAGGCAAATCTCAGTATAGTTGTTAATGTTAGAATATAATAGTGTCTGTGCAGTTGCTAAGGGATGTCTGTTCTGTATTGGATGCACATTGAATATGAATTTAGAAGGAATTGAGTTCATTGAATAGCTATAAAACCATATGTCGTTTGTTACAGGAAGAAAAACAGACTTTTCTTTGTCCTCGAAGAACACTGTGATTTCATAATTTGAATAGTGAGCAGACACATGCATAAAATAGATTAACAAGGTATGCGTATGAGGTAGAAGTTGGTATGTAAGTTGAGGCTACAGTAGCAATTTTTAGAAGTTATAAGCTTTATATTGAAGCTAAATTAGGTCTGGTGCAAATTTCAATTTATAGCTGCGTGCAGTCATTCAGGTGCAAATTTCATTTGTTAGGAAATAGTTTATTTGTCAAGTCATGTTGACATACAATCTGATGATGATAATTTGATTAGGAAAATAAATGAAACTATCAGTTTATCTTTGATAAAGGACATTCTTTAGAGATCTTTCTTCCAAGAGGTTTTTTTATTAATTTCTCATGGCTATAATGTCTTTGGGAAAATACATCATAATTGACTTTCTCAGCTGTATTATGTTATTGTTTGATCTGTTTTTGTATACAGTGATCCTTCAATGTTTAAATACCGTAATGTTAATATCTATTTGAAAGTATTTAATTGTGTAACAATCCTCACGTTACATATATTTGATACATTTTCACACAGAAATGTGCTTATGAAGAAAAATTCTTCCATACTTTATACATATTATTTTCACATGCAAAAAAAAATCCTCACTCTTTAATTAGGTGGTCTGTTCCAAGTCAGACCCAGCTAAACTTTCTTTTTTTAATCCGAAAGTATGACATTTCTAATGACCAGGAAAATCGGGCTATACTATATACCGGAAAACTACCGGAAAACACCATGTTATACTGAATACCGGAAAACACTAAATACCGGAAAACACACTAAATACTGGAAAACACCCTAAATAGGTAACCCAGAGAGGGCTATACTATAAACCAGAAACTAACCCTAACCCAGGCACACAGAGGACCAGGTTCCGGGTTACCTATTTAGGGTGCCAGTCTCCGGGTTACCTATTTAGGGTATTTTCCGGTATTCAGTATAACATGGTGTTTTCCGGTTGTTTTCCAGTGTTTTTCGGTGTTTTCCGGTATATAGTATTGTCGGGAAAATCAAATCATAGACTATTTATAAACTCACAATAAATTAAATAAGTTAATTATTACATAATGTCTCTAACCTTTTGTGATCAGAAAATACGAACAAAAACTTATGTAATTTGCAATGTTGACTCACACCATCAAAGGATTCAAAGTTTATCTCTAAGGAATTTTTTTCAAAAGTTTTTTATACATTTTACCCTCTGTTTGATTGCATGCATCTGTTTGATGGCAAGCTTCATCCATGTGTCTTTAAATCAATGAAAAATGTAAGAAATGTTTGGCATTTTTTTTTGTATTTGCTGCATTTCTATGACACCATGCTGGGGTTCCATCCTTTCTTATAGGTTGTATAAATTTTGAACTATTCTTTTTTAAATATCAATAACGATTTGGAGTTGATGTGCCTGGATCTTCCGACAACCTGCAGTATGTAAATTCGATGGCCTAAATCCCTTTTGTGTATGCTGATTAACGATGGCCTGTCTTAAAGTTTGTAAATTTACTTAAAGTGCAGTTGAAGCATATTAAACTAACAAAGTGGCAAACTTGTCAATATTGAAACATCTCTTTAATCAAGAGATAGGTCAATAAAAAGAAGCAGATTTTCCTCCGTTAATTAAACATTTGTGTAAATCCTTAATGAGAAAGACACATTATACTTTCTGAAATAGAGTAACATCAGAGGGAACAAAAAACTTTGATCAGAGCCAAGAGTGCACATAGAATTGTGTACAGAAACATGAATAAACAATTTGTCATAAAACATATTGTCCCAGTCATGTAAATTTGACAAACAAAGTAGAATACAGATTTGACAGTTCATTGGGCACGTTTTAAAAACAATGAAATAGACATTTAGCTTTAACAATATTTGTTGAATTATTTCATATCAGTTTAGTACTATTATCAAATTAAATTGAGGTCAAGAATTAGATTTACCATTACGATTCAAAAAATAAAAGTTAATGCCATTTGTTAGATATAAAATACTTTAAAGCTGCATTAAGTAAGATTTAGATAAAGAACTGGCTGTTCTTTCTATATAATAGTTCAAAAATAGATAATGAAAAAAAAATATATTGAAAACATACTGTTACTTTATTCTGAGCGAGTGTTTGAAGTTTTGACAAGAGGTTGTGTAGATAGTCTTGAACTCTTGATGACCTGGCGCCTGGTACGTTCGGGCATTTTTATGCGCGAACTCTTAGTTTTTTTTTACTGGCATGCGCACAGGTACTATTTCTTTTTCTTTTAACAAGTACCCAAATCGGGGATTTCGTGCGGAGGTAGTTCGGAGGTAAACAGTCTGTGAAGTACAACACTTGCCACTGTACCTGTGTATCACTAATTATAAACCGAATGTGTGAAGACAGTTCATACATATCACTCAAACATTTTTCAGTACAAACTCAGTTGATTCACGCTCGATTTGCTACTAAACAAACCCATCGGTTTATTTTCTCAACAGTGTGACCCGAAGTGACCGCGGATTTATTGACCTTGTATGAACTTATCCATAGCTATATCCTTACACCAAGAGAAATTATCTAGTCTCGGTGAAAAGAACCATGGTCATCTGGTAGAAAATTACTTTTGTATTTTTTGGAACGGAAAACAGTGTTTTTAGAAGCAAACTAACCTGCCGCACATGAGGAAGTCATTATACTAATAATAAAAGGCGAGACCTCTTTTTGCGGCG